TCAATTTTTGTTTTTTTGTTTATTCTCTCTTACATTGCCAAATCCGACTGATGTTAGAGATGAAAATGTAAAATAAAGTGCTGTAATATATCTTGAACGAAGATTAGGTCCACCAAAACAAGTATTTGAATCTATTTTTGTTGTTAGACTTTGATTTGAAGATGATATTAGAGAACAATTATATGTTTGACCCGATGTACGTGCTAATTCATCCAGCCATGTTATGCGTAATCCTAAAATAATAAGCGAAGCAAACACAAAATAACAACACAACATTAAAGACAAATAACAATATTTAAATAGATACGAAAGCAATATATAACAACAAGAACTCACAGCCTACGAGCATAATTATAATTGAAAAACCCTTTTCACTATTTGTATTTGGACTATAGACAAAAGAAAATATGTCTAAGATAAATCAAATACAAAGAAATATACTATATCTAACCTCACATTACCAAAACCGACTGATGTTAGAGAAGAAAAAGTAAAATAAAGAGCTGTTATATATTTGGATGTTTTCGTTGGACCCGATGTTGCATCTGAATCATTATAATACTGATGTGTATGATTAGCTAATTCAGCTAACCAACCAATCGTTCTTTCAGTACCTAATTAAAAAGAAGTAAACTCTCAACTCAAAGGCCATCATATACTTTTTTTCTTTTTTCTTTTATATATTATCAATGCTATATGATTATTTACCATGATTATTTCGTTCAAGACGACCGATAGCATACCATATACAAGCAAGCCAATGTGCAATAAGAGCAAATGTAGCAGTTAATAAAATTAACACGCCAATACCATATTCCGAATAACGATCTAATTTTCTTGCTATACGTACTAATCTTAATAGACGTGCCGTTTTTAATAAACCCATTAATACTGTTGATTCACCACCACCTTTTGTTTGTATTAATGAAAATAAAATATCAAATGGTATAGCTGCTGTTACATCAATTAAAAACCATCCTTTTAAATAATGTTTAGCTATTTTACTTGCACGTGTTACTAATTCTTCATTACGTTTAACATATGTTGTACGTAAATTTACTAATAAATCAATAACAAACATAACATCAACAATAAGTTCAATAACATTTAATGCACGTGATGGACGTGAACGTTGTTTATTTGGTCCATCTTCATGCATTAAAAATGCAGCTATATATGGTGTAACAATAGCTGTATAAATAACAAGTAATAATATAAACCAATCCCATACAGCTTTAAATGGTGAATAATGAAGAATAATTGTATGTGGTACACGACGACTATCAGGTAAACGAAAATCAGGTACAATATCTTCACCTAATGATAAAATTTGGGCTATATGATGTGGAATATTTGGTAGAAATGAATGTTTGGTTTTTTTTGATTCTTTTGATTCATTTTTCATAACAGTTTCTAAAAAGATAATTATTCTTTTTTTTGTTTTGTTTTGTTAAGAAATTGTTTTTCTTTACCAGCTATATTACTAATACTTTGAGATTTATTTCTCGATAAATCAACATCATTAGTATTATTATTTGAATTCCATGGATTATTATCAGGTTTTAAGAAATTATTTGAACTTATCGATGATTGTTGACTAATTTTATGATCAAGAGGAAAATTTTTTGATGTCGATAAACTTGTTTCATCCAAATGAATTGCCGTTGTATTTTTATGATTTAAAGCTAGTTAATAGAAAAATGATCGAAATTAATTACTGCTATTGTATAAAAAAAAAGGGTAATATATTTTACCTATATAACCAGGCGTATCAGGTGCTGTTACAGGACTTTCAAAATCATTCATATCTCCTGTTGAGACATCATTTACTGGAGTCGCTCGGTGTTTTGATAATGGATTTAACATATCTAACCATGAACGTTTACGTATACCATCTATAATAGATAATCATAATATAAATAAAAAGTTCTTAATAAAATATTAACATACTTGTTGGACTAATCGAATATTCATGAATTTTAGCTAGAAGATTATTATATAAAATCAATTGACCTTCTGATAAAATAAATTAATACATACGTATTCGTCGTTGACGATTAAGATCAGTATTCTCAGTAAATTCAAGTATAAATAAGATAATATCGCATGATTCATTTTTCACCGGTGCAATAAGAACTAAACATCGGAATTTCATACCTATATAATAATAATAATAATTTATAAATAAAATTCTCGTTTTCTTTATCAATTATTATACCAGTATTTCGATATAGAATAATTTCAACTTCTTTTTCATCACTTCCTTGTAATGCATGTCGAATTTGTTTAATAGGTTTTTCACTGGTTTCAATACCATATAAAAATTCACATGTACATGGTTTTTGTATTATATCTGAACGTGAATAACCAGTTAGTTCGCAAAACGCATCATTGCAATAAATTATTGGCTTATTAGCCAATTGAGCATTCGATATAAGAAAGCGTCGATCTAATTAATAGGGGGGGAAAAAGAAAATATGTTTATTTCCTTATATAATGAATATAAAAATTCACATACTTTGTGAGTCAAATTTACGTATAATTGTATCAATAAATGTATTTTGAGGAGCCGAAACATGACCCCGTTTCATCGGCATTTTTAACGGAAGCTCATAAAAATATTGTCATCATCTTGAAGAAAGAACGGAAAAACAAAAAATGTATGCATGTCGTTCGAGTCTAGGACATATTACAGAAACATATAGCATAGAAAATGCGACTTTCTATGTATTAATATATATATATATATATATATATAAATATGTATGTGTATGTGTATGCAGCCGTTAAAGAGAGATAGCTTGAGACAACCGGAAGTGTTTGACGTCAGTGAAAGGATACAGAACATTGCGTCACGAGGAGAACACTGAAAGTAACAAGAGAATCAAGGTCGCTTATTGGATATATATATTTGTGTGTGTATATCCTGTTGTGCTTCCTCTCTCTCTTGAGAAAGCAAAAAAAAAGTAAAAAAGAAAGAAAACAACCAAAAGATTTACATGCCCTGAGTATTTGTTTTAATCAAATGTTGATACAATACATAAGATATATCTTGACTAGGTCCCTTATTATATTTTTGTGTTGTACAAGTTAGATTACCATTAAAAAAAAGAACTCGATAATATAGTCAAATAAGGAAAATAAATGAAGCTAGTTAATGCTTAATATAAAAATCTATCAAGGTTTTAGAATTATAAATAAGAAGAAGAAGAAGAAAAAAAGAAAGATTTCAATATTGTTGACTTACTTTTTATAATGATTTATTTTTCTAATAGAAATAATAATATATAAAAAAAAAAAAAAACTAGAAAAAGACTAAGATCTAAATACAAATAAATGAGCCATTTCACTTCTTCTTTTTCTCGCTCTTTTTTTTTCTCTTTCAATAGCCTACGGAAATCTGAAAGAAATTATGCATGGTTCGTAGCATTTTCGTCATTGACTACGATTATAACTGTGTCATCTCTAACATTATGATTACACAAAGAACCTTAATTTTCTTATTTATACTCAAACAAGTCATTGAAAAACTCGATTAATAGAAGAAGAAAAAAATGAACGTTCGTTTTATCTTTACAAAAAAACTTTCTTGCTTTATTTCCTTCTAATCTATTCTTGCTAAATCTTCGCTTCACTTGTCCCCACTTAATCACACAATCATGAAGACAAATACATGTTTTTTTGACTCTATTATGACAATAGATCATGTATCTATATCTATATAGACATATAAATGTCTTTTTTTTTTTCTTCTAAATGACATTTTACATATGTAGCGATCTAAGATGACGAATCGTGATAGTTTTAACGGCATATGTTATTATAAGGTATACTGCCGTTAAAATGTCGTCTGATCAATTAGTTTATGTCATATTTAATATGGTCGAGATGAAATGATTTGATTTTGAATGAGTGACTGACACTTAAGGACAACTGATCAGGTATCCAATAGACAGTTAAATAGATCATTATTTTCTACTAACTATACAATATTCTAATACAATAGTTGGCGATAATAAATCGATAAGAGATTATTGGCCTTGTCACTAGGATAACAACAGAATTGGCAAAGAAATATCGGTTCCTATAGTGCACATTCTTTTCTAAATGGAAGCAGGCTGGCGAACGAGAAAAGAAGATCTAACTCTTTTTTTTTCTTTATTTCTCTATCTCTTTTATTGTCTTCTTGTTTGCATGTATATAAAAGGGCGAAAAATGGGCTAAAGATGAACTTATATAACAGCAAAGAAAAGAGAAACAACTTCTTTATGGATAAAAAAAAAAAGAGCAAAACATATGTAACAGCTGTATCTGACGATTGGGGAATTGCACATACGTATATAGACTAATAAACATTTGATAATAGAAAGAGGCAAGAGAAAATAATATTCTATCATCGAAAAATAAAAATGATTCGTAAAATATTTTCTTTATACTAATCAGTGCAAATATTTAACATATCGAATATGTTAATAATGTTATTTTTTACTTGTATATAAATATATATATATATTATGCACACAAAAAACATCATACAAAAGTATAGCAAAATCAGATAGTCAAACAACTGTTTATGTTCGTCAACTACTTTTACATATACTATAGAATATATATCGAATTTTCCATGTATATAAATATAAGTTTTGCACTCACAATAACATAGTTACCCTATTTGAGAAAATTACAAATATTCACATATTTTATGTTATTAATATACAAATATATGTATCCCTGATGTAATTAATGTGTTTTATAGACAGAAAAATTCATGAATAAGTCAACATTCCAATCTATTTTTTTCTAATTATGTTTAATATAAAATTCTTATAATATTTTTCCCTAAAACTCAATTTATTTGAATTACCTGAAATATTTCACAATTATAAATAAACAAAGCCATGACTTTTAAAAGATTTATCGTCAAATAATTCTCTAATAGAAGCATAATCTATGATTAATTCTACTCTTTTTGTTTTATTTAACAGAAAAAAAAATTGAAATTAAAATTTAGTTGAATTTTCACAATTAGATAATGTTATCAAACATGTTTTAGATTTATCTGAGAAATGCATATTTTTTGGACATGTTGTTAAATTTAGAAAACGTTCATCTTTACATTCATAATAGGATGAACATTCTTGTAATTGATTACCATGAAAACCATTTGTTTTATTACGACAACTTGGTATTAACCAACAAGGTCTTTCATCAATAGAACTATGTATTTGTGGATGATGATAATCACCTAAAATATATTTTTTTTAAATTGTTTTTTCTTGTTAAACATTCTTACATGCATCTTTTGGTTCAAATCGTTGATTACATTGTACTTGAGAATAATGTTTACATCCTTTACTTTCTAGATCAAATAAAAATGGATATAAACAAGAATAATGATATGTTAAATTAGATGTTGTTGATAATTGAACAGAAAACCAAGCACAATTTTCATGATTTTCATTTATATTTACTAAATAACATTCATCATACAAAGGATTTACTCCTATACAACGTTGTCGATATGTACTAAATATTGGTTCAGATGAATTTAAACATTGTAAAGTTTTATTAAGTGTTTCATTGAAACAAAAATAAAATGTTTGACAATTTAAACTTGTATAATCAGCATAGAAACCATTAGATTTATTAATACAAATATCGTTTTTACATATTGAATTTATAATAAACAGACATAAAAGAAATGTAATAACAATGATTTTTATACCAGACATGATTTGTTGATAGAATAGAAACTATTCGATTTATTTATATATATAAACAAATAATTCTGTCCTCGACGATTCGAAATGACAACTACGCTCGTTCTGTTTAATAGAAAAGAAATTGGTCACGTTGTTGAAAGAAAGATAACTGTACTATAACAAATTTCTCATCGTTCTTCTTTTATAGAATATATCGGTTTGTTTTTTTTTGATAAGTAGTAGACATTTACTGGAAGTTTTATTCCATATGAATAATATAAACAACTTTAGTAGTATTATGACTGATCTAATCAATGACATTTCGTTTGTTGTCGACTTAGAACTTTAGTAGAATTATGTAGATTAGCGTTAATTGTTTACATTATTTCTGTAAACTAAATTTTCGATAGATTTTGACTATTAATCGAAAAATTAACCTGTTCATATTTTAATGTTAATTCCATTGAAATACATGTGTTTTATTAATATTCTTCGTATCAATAATTTAATAATCATCTGACGTTTTTGTGTTATTAAGTATTTTACAATATGATTTTAATATCCATCTGTTATCTTTGTTAACTTCATGGAATTGTTATTTATTTATTAAAAACAAAAAAATAACGATTGTTTTGGCTTTTAGTATTAGTATTTATTGATTTATAAATTAGTTTTATATACAGATCATAGTAATTCGTATTGATTGATATTTTTTCATAGAAAATTCTGATTAATCTTATGTTTATATTTGATCAAGTTGATAAAGGTATATATATTTCTCTTTGATTTTTATTCAACGAGGAAATTCTTTTTTCTTGATGGCTAAATGTTGATATCAATATGAAGATCTTTGGAGTTAACATTAAGCGTAATAATAATATTGAAAAAAATAACTAAAAGCGTCAGAAGTTTAGAAACAGGATGAAATATCTACGAAACGAATGAAACCATAAAACTTCTGTAGATTTTCTTATCGTTTTTCAATACTTTTAGATACCTCCGGAACATTTTCTGGAGGCCCGGTAAAAAACCTCTCTTCTATAGAAAATAAACTGAAATATGGGTTTATCACAAGTCTCTTAATATACGCGTTCAATTGTTATATTTGAATTATCAAAATATTATTATCATTTTTAGTAATTTAAATCTGAGCATTCTTGTTTTGTTTATTTTAAAACAAAATTGAAACATTGTAGTCATTTTATTCGCTCATACTTTGACTTGTTCAATTTGAAAAGAACGTAGAATTAGTTATAGTTTGAAAGTAATATGGTAAACACATAATAATTTATATAGTAAAAGAAGCGTTTAGTTTGTTCTTTAACACTATAGTTCTTTCAAATACGGACAGAAAAACAATTCTAATTTCTTCTTGATCATTTTTCACGTAATACTGAATATGAAGATTCACGTGTCCAAGTATTTAATTCAATCTTATAACCATTTTCACCAGGTGGACGACCAGAATGATATGTCAAATGTTCTACTTGTTTCAATTCGTTAATGTTCGACCAGAATATACTATTTCCAGGTAATGGACGAAATCGAATATCAGATTTGTGTGAATTTTCATCACAAATTAAAATATCACAGAAATGCTCATGTAATGATTTATTAAATTGTATTTGAAGAAATTCAGTTTCACCCATAGAACAATTCGCTTGAAGATTAGTGATAAATGTAGATATTCGTTGACCACCATTTTTTAATAGATTTGGTTGTGTAAACCAATCGAAATGAGGTTTCATCTAAGATGTTACATTTAAATAAAGAATAATATTTTCTTCATATTCAACGATTATCTCAATTAAAATGTATCATACCTGTTGATTAGATGTATATTTTACTATGTGAAGTGGTTCAATACGTTTTGCATCCATATCACCTTGAAATTCAGCAAATCGCTGTTCAATACAATTCACAATAGATGTTGCATGACGTTTGATATTTGTTGAACTTGATGTTGGATGATCATCAGAGAAAACTTTTTCGTTTATATCATAAACTTTCGTAGGTTTAAATAATGGTTCTCTAGTATATACACAATCAGATATGAACATAACAATCATTCATTTTCCTACTCACGCTAATTCAATTAAATGTTGAATTTCATTTTCCGTAAGAAATTGTTCAATGTAAATAATTAGCGGTTTTCGTTCAATGATTCGAGTGGTATATTGATGTTGAGGACATTCATATTCATATTGAGATAGATCATAATTGTGTTTAACTCTTTCGGATTTCGGAATTCCTTCAGATAAATCTAACTGTATCGGTTGTATTATTTGCCGTCGAAAATATAACTGAAGATAAGTTAAACATCCAATGGTGACTTGAAGACTAGTTTCAGTTAGTTCGAGAATAATTTCCTCAGATAAATAGACGTAAAAAATACAGAAAGAAGTGATGAGTACAAGAAATACTACTTGGAGAAAAATAAAGCTATATAAAAATGATTATCTTACTGAATAAGAATACCTGAGAATATATAACACATATACATTATTGTTCTTTTGATGTCCGTATATCAGCTTATATTTCCATGATTTATTTGCTATTAGTATTGACGATGCTGAGATGAACAATAAAGATAAATACACTCAAATTTATTAGTAATTTAATAAAGTGAATTGATTTTACTGTATAGTTTAACATGTAGTTGATCAAGAAGAATAGTCCTATTTCTCTATTCAAAATGACATAAAGAAAAAAGTAAGAACGATGAAAACTTCAGTAGAACAAACAAATAAATAAATTATTTTTCTTTCGTTTAAATATTCATGCAACATAAAAAGTCATCGTTGTCATGTAAGAAACTAACAAAATATAGTACATCTGTTTCTGTTTGCATAAGAGAAAGAAAACATACCTTTAAAAATAAAATGAGAAATTATTCAATAGTTTAATTCATCTTTTGCGGTGTTGGAAAAAATGTATAATGATTGTTAAAGAATATAATTTCACATTATAAAAGGTGTTTTATAAGCATTTTACCTATAAGATAAGTATCTATTAGATGAAAATAAAAATGAAAGTGAATACAAGCACTATATTCACAGTATCATTTTGTGTTTTTATACTGTTTATATCAGTAAAACCAATATTATACTATCGAAAACAAGGATATATACTGTGTTTAAGTAATTAATATTGTTCAGTCTTATCTTGATAATTATCTCTACTAGCTATTTCATTTACTTCTTCCGTTTGATACTTTATAAAATACTGATTATTGTTGTTGGAACTTGTGCAAATATTGTTCATTGTTTTGAAAGCAAAAAAAACGTTTTATTTAGTATGGAATAAAAAGTTTTAAATTAATATAAGTCACTACTACTTGTTACATGCAAAAGTATTAAATAAAAGTTCATTGTAAAGAAGTTTCAACTGACACTGATTTGTGCTCGTCGTTTTCTTTCTGCCATATCATTGGCTAATTCGCCATCATCTGCTTCAAATGGCTCAATAACTGTGACATGCACGTCTCCAACATCGTTTATATAGCACTATACACAAGAAAGAAAGATATAAAATTATATTTTGTAGACAAACAAACGTCAAAAGTATATTGACCACCATAGCCATGAGAACGAAAACAGCCAACTGCTGGTTCTAAGTTACTATCAATAGATACATGATGATGTTTCTTGCGAATGTGTTCTATAATTGAGTCACGGTACTAAACATATGTAAACAATTTATTAGTAATTTATTACTATCAACGATGAAAGATTAATTATACTATTTCAAATATTTCTCGAGGTTTTGTTGCAGTGTAATAGCGTTTTGGACCACCTTCTATTGGAAGAGGCCTTTCCATCATTTCTCTAGATGAAACACAAACTAAAATATAAGTGGATATAATTTAATTTACTTACTGATAGGGAAGACTGATTTGTTCGTTCTTACTCATGATCCTTGATTATGTAGAAATAACGATGTAGACTTTTATCTATGATATATATATATAAACTATCAGCTGTGGTGAAAAAAACAACTATTATTTTAAGACAATATTTTTTTTTATATGGTACACGTAAAACTAATAAATATGAAGAAAAAAAATAGATGCGTCTAAGGGATGATTGGGTTAGAGTGATTAATAGTATATGTATGTATATCTAACAAATGTGCACAATCAACTGTGGCGGCGAAAATATATTAACAAGAGGAGTCTTGGTAAACAAGTAACTTTTTCTGTTCTCCTCTCGTGTATATGAAAGTCGTATGTATACGAAAGTATAATTACATAGCTATCAATCTTCTGAAAGAAAAGAAACAAGTGATGGATAAAGAAGAACGAGAAAAATATGAAACGAGTAGTTTGTCTCTAATAAACCTATTGCTTGACATGGTGTTTTAACCAGCAATAGACTGCATTCTTATTGCTTCATTTATCTAGATTAAGTATACATTACGAAATATGTTTATTGTATATCAATGTCAGAGATAAACGAAGAATGACAAAAGGAGAAATATGCTGTCAAAACATTTTCTTTGCATTAAAATTTATCATCTGTCGAACGTTGAGTTTTAATTTTTGCATTGAAATGATTAAAATATATTACAGTTTATTATCATTATAGGAGTTCAATTTTCATCATCATATTCAAATAAAACATTTATTACAATATTAATTAATTTAACACCTAAACCAATTTCAGGATGATCTCAATTTATTAATTATGTTCATAAAAGATATATTAAATATCAAAATTGTTCTGAAATTTATCATAATAATAATAATCAAATATCTTTCAGTAAAAATGAAATTTGAATTTAATAAAACGAATCTTTTAGATTTAAAACAAATGTCATTCATACCTAAGTTAAATAATAATGAAAAATAAAGTAAATATCTTTTGTTCCTTTTTGAGTATACATAACACTCGGATTCAAATTCGAGGTTTCGCATTTATTTAATCGGAAAACAAGCTCCTTAGCTTATAGGATTTTCCATCGTTTTCAAGTATTGAATGTATTATTATAGTTGAAACATCTTATCAACAACAATCAAAGAATGAAAAAATAATAATAACAAAATAAATATAGTTATATCTCATCAAGAACAATTAATCAATACAAAAATAATAACAAATATTTAGTTATATCTTACCAAGAATAATAGAGCAACAGAAAAATAATAATAATAACAATAACAATTTAGTTGAATTCTTCAGGTTCTCCCAGGTCGAACAATCCGGCACGGATCCGATGATTGGATTTATCTGGTTTGGGCCGAAACCGACAGAAACATGTGAAAAGCGGCAGCCGTGTACGGTTACCTCACTTCTCCATCGGATTTCTGGTATTTCCTGGGCGGAATCTGCCCGGACATGGCGAGTTTCCTCAGGGATTTCGCCAGATATTCATGTAATCCTGCTTCAGGAAATATCGTTCTGGGCTGAATCAACTATTTGATTATTTTCACATTTTTTTCTGCTATAATGTAGTACACATAATTAAAAACAAGAATCAATGAACAGATAGAACATACAAATGAAGCTTTTTTCCTGAAACTTGGTTGAGAACGAAAGCACCAGTTATAGTAGTCATAAGTCCTATAATAAGAGCACTGATCCAATTAAACAAGTATTTCAGATGCTTGTATACTAGAAAAACTTCAGAAGATAGATTATGAACGAAAATGTTCTACGTGTTAGGTCTTTCAATAGCAACAAAAAAATATAATGTACAACAGCAAACAGCAGAAAAAAGACAAATGAAAAAAAACTTATTTTGTCCATGTTTTTAATTCAGTTTATCTTTTTTTCATTTAAATTGAACCAGTATGATATAAACTTCAGGAATTCTATTATATAGAAGAAAAGATATACATAATTTACGTTTTTGTATATTATTTTTAGAACATCAATGAGAGAAGTACGGATATAATAAAATAAGTTTTAGTGTACTTACTATTTTGTTGAATTGATAAATCTGTTTCATTCGTTGGTTGTTCTTCTTCTTCTTCAACAATTATTGTTCGTGATAATGATGATGCTGACGACATAGACTTGTTTTCAATATCAATCAAATTATTCTAAAAGAGCCAATTATAAAAATTAATACAATTTATAAATTTCTTTCGTGCACGAATTTGCTCCATTTGTTGATGTATTTCATGATTGGCAGGATCTTCACACATCTGTTGACTGAACTAAAAATACTAAATAAAGTTTCTTTTCACTAAACAGTTTTTATCTTACCTGTAAATATTTTGATTGTAATTGTTCTTTCTTTTCATCCATGTTTAGTTGTAATTGACAATAAACGATAATGACAAATACGTTTGAGATAAATACCCACGTCGAACGAGTCGGACCGTAAACGGTATAGATACGGATATTTTTCGCAACGTTTACGGACCGTAATACGGAGTACCGAATTCTGTCGATAACGGTACTCAGATTACGTACCGTTTTTAGACGTTTTTTTTTAAACCTACTTAATAAGGCTACAGATCCCACTATATAACTCTCCGTATAGTATTATCATTTTTTCATAAATTAGATAGTAATTTTATAGAAAGAAATTGAAAAACAAAACAGAAATAGAAGTATAATGAATCAAGCCAATTGTGACACCATCTACATGAAAATTCAAAATTAACAGTTAATTTTGGTCGAATACACATTTATAAATTAACAATAGAAATTTTAATAAACGTTGCATAAATCTCAATTGCTTTTAGATTTTCACAGACGACTTTTACATCTTTATACAGTCACAGCCGTCTAAGCAAATCTATTTAACGACATAAGAGACGTTCTATAGGAACCGATATAATGATCATTCGACGTTCTTAGGAACCAACTTTATTACATCCCTTCGTTTTTCTCGTTCATTTATAATTACGAAAGATCTATATACTGCTTAATCTGATTTATGATTGAGTTTATTGATTTATTATCTGACTGACAAAATTTGTTTTGCTTGTGCTTTTTTAGATGAAATACAGATACCAGAGCATTACAGATGCCAGCAAATTCATTTTCAACAGACATGTATTATATTCCGTATGTATATCTATATATGTATACATATATCTTAATTTAAATTTATTTACGAATTAAAGCAGAATATAACTATAATTACAAATAAATACTATTATGGCTTCACCATATCGACCTCGAAAGACTTTCGTACGTTATTCTAGTTCTCCTGAATCGGCATCTTCTGGCATGTAATCAGTCCAGTAAAATGTAATTTATATTCAAAAAAACGTTTAAAAACGGTACGTAATCTGAGTACCGTTATTAGACAGAATTCGGTACTCCATATTACGGTCTGTAAACGTTGCGAAAAATATCCGTATAGATACCGTTTACGATCCGACTTGTGCGACCTGGATTATCGTATATTATTTTAAAGGTAATTAGTTTTACTCTTTCAAATTATTTACGACAAGTAACATTGTTTTCGTTGACTAATAGGATTGATTGAAAACATTCCCCTCGCATCCTTTGATGTTTTTTTTCTTGGAATAAAGGAGTGTTTTAATTGGACGAGTATGATTGTGTTATCAATGATGGGCTATCGTCATTGTTATAATAATTGTTTGTGTTCATTTCTTTGTCTTTTTCATATCTGATTTTCTTATTTTTTTTATTTTATAGTATTTTTTATGTTGTTGCAACTGGTTTATTTTTTTAAGAGTATCATTTGTTAAAAATTTGATTTAATGGCGGTTGATGTGCTCAATCTCATTGAATATTTTTTATTTTTGAACTTAAAAGTTGTTGTTCTATTTTTCTATTTAATTTAACTTTGTTTTAATCATTGTTAAAATTTATCTATTTATTTTACTTTAAATAATTATTTATATTGTTTTATTTTCTATGCTTGTTTTAGATGATTATTTTAATATCGTTTGTTTTTTTTGTTTTAGATATTCTTTTTTATTTCGTTGTATATTAATTGCCGATCTTGATTTTCTCTTCACAAATAGAACAACATTTTGTTTTATTTTTAAAAAGAAACGTTTCTTTTCTGATTATATACACGACTTTGAATGATTTCCCCTGACCATAAACTACTTCAAATGTTGTTTGATCAATTTGGTATGCAGATCTGAAGTAAAATATTAAAAGTCTTAATATGTAAAGATACATTTTTTTCGTATCACCTATTACTAGTACTTTCTTTTTTTTTTGATTATAAGATTCACCCTTTTTTCTATTCTCATATACTTGTTTCTCTATTTTTTTTGTATTAGGCTAGTCTTGGACACGTGTGTTATATGTATGAAACATTTAATTTATGTTGTAATATTATATTATATTTTGAAATTTAATTTTGTTTTTATAGATAATTCTGCTATCATCTTGAGAATGTTTGTGATATTTTATTTGAAAAAACAGTGTTATCTTGCACTTTGCTTGTACAAATGACACACTATTGAAATCTTTGTTTTAGATTTTTATTTGAAAAACTGATTAATATGATGAACAATGATTTACACGATAAATTACAAGAAGTAAGCTTAATAGTGTATTGATTTTTAAGAGAGAGAACTTCTGATAGGATTGAGCAAGGCTATCATATGATAATATTTTTTCCTTTGAAAGTCATATTATTAAATAGTATGACTTTCAAAGCAAACAAATACCTTGTGTAGCCTATCAGGTATGTGCTTGGCCGTCTCAGAAACTGTCTCATAAACGTATAATGATTACAATCATAAACATCTGTCCACTGAAATTTTTAGCTAACTGAAAATCCTATCAATGAGCCAACAGATACTGATCTTGTTCGACAAATACAAATAATTCATGTAAGAATTACGATGTTTCATATCAAATGATTGGAATTTTTTCATTTAGAATCAAATAGGACTTATTGAAACATCTACTTTGGTAAGTATATATATAATCTTTTTTTATTGAATAAATGAGAACAAAATGTTTAAACTCAGTAGATAACTCACCATTTTCGGGCGGGATCCGCTCGAAAAATACCAGGAATACCACGGAACCGGCCGTTTCCGTGACGGATTGTTCGACCTGGATGTGCTCCAAGAAACTACAATTGGAAACGCAGCGATAATTTCTGGTTGTTGTGGCATTTCCCAGAACGATGGTTCCTGAAGCAGGATCCCATGAATTTCTGGCGAAATCCCTGAGGAAACTCACCATTTTCGGGTGGAACCCCCCCGGAAAATACCAGGAATCTGATGGAGAAATGAGTTAACCGTATCCGGTTACCGCTTTGGACATGTTCTTGTCGGTTCCAGCCCAAATCAAATCGATTAGGAACTGATAATGAACAATTATTATCATCTTGATCATCAACCAATGTACAACAGCAACCACAGGACTTAACACAACTACAAGAACAAATAACACAACTACGAGAACAATTAACACAACACCAACAAGCAACACCACAACAACAAATGATGCAAGAATGATTCACACAACTACAAGAACAAATAATACTACTTCCAGAGTTTTTTATATACTCTGTTTTTATATTTTGATTAAGCTGTCTCAATTCTATACCAGTTTGTAGAAGGACGATATTTATTCTTCAATTTATTATTTTGAAAATATTTTTAATTTAATAAAATACATTCTTATTTACGTAAATAAAATACATTTATTAAAATTTGACTCGAATGAAATATAAAGTATGACGTCTGGAAAAATTCTCTCGAAACAGATCGACAATTATAAAATCGATTGAAAGATTTTTTGCATCTTTTTTTTAATGATTTAACCGTTCCGATTCGATTCCAGATTTCAGTTTTATTGTAAACGACGAACTCTAATTATATGTATTTCAAGCAGGGTTTTCTAAATATATAGTCAAAATGTAATCGAAAATCTTTGAGACATTTTTTTAGGCTTATTTTCTAGACAGTTTTTAGAATAGTAAAACTTTATTTAAAAAATCAATTTGAGATCTTCAATACAGATATGTTTTCATACTTTCTGATACTGTATTTGAATAGCGTATACGGAACTATTTAACAAATTAAAATGACATTTTATTTTAGTAAACTGCTGAGCAAATAGTGTCTTGGTAGTATTCAGTAGTTCCAATACAACAAAAACCTGCCAATCCTAATTTTGAAAAGAACATATCAATAGAATATACATTAAGTTCTCTATTTTTTAATACCAGAACAAAACTCTCTAATTCAGTCTAACTTGTGAAAACAGTCGATCAAGAACAGGCAATTTTCTCTACCGTACCTATTATTAGAGTGATCTATAAATGATAATTTGAAAAAATGAAAAACAAAACACCTTTTTTTCTCGACATGCGATTAATCATATCTCGGGAACGAAAAGCTATAAATACGAACACTTTTTAAATTTTCTTGGTCTCAACAAGATCTTCTTATAGCCAAAAGATATTGCCGAAAGCTTTAGATTAGTTCAATTACTTCCCTTCTAAATATCTTCAGATTGAAATACAATCGTAAATCATGTCTTTTCTTCCCTTTGATAGGATATGTCAAATGCATACTCAAATGGTTTGGCTTTAATGAAGAAAAAAATAAGTTAGAATAAGAAAGAACATTATGAACATATTATTTTTTGTTTCTGCTTGTTGCTTTTTTGCTTGCTTTGTCGTCATTGTACTTAATGATTATTATTATATATTAGAAATAAACTAAAAGTTTATGTGAAGTTTTTTTAATTAAATATACATGTCAAAACCATAGATCTTCTCCATAAACAAAAAGATTGAAGGGAAAACATTTGCTCATTTTTTTTAAATTTAAAATTTTTTAGGTTGATAATTTATTAGAATCAAAATCCGAATTAAGTCCACAATTAAGTAACTTTATCGTCGTGGTGTTGGTCGACCACGTGTTGAAGAACAATGTCCTGATTTATTACAAATAATTGAAGAAATAGCTAAAGTTGGTAATGCTAGTGATGATCGACGACGATCAGAAACAATTCATCCTTGTTTAACATTAGATGATTGACGTGAAAAAATCAAACAATGTGGTTATGATATTAAACGAACAACACTTTATTGTCGGTAAATGATCAGTAAATCATATTTAGTTCAAAAAATTAAAAGCTTTTTTGTTTTTTAGTCTTTTACTTCATCGTACAACATCAATTGAAGGTCGTCGACATACTCAAACAGTTCCTGTTCGTCTCCGTCGTGTACAACTATTTCTAAAAATGTTGAGATTGTAAATGTAAATCTAAGAGAAAATATGTGTATAGATATGTTGCTTATCTTTTCTTTCTGTTCTGATTTTTATGCTTTGTCATCTTTCATTGACTTGTGATAGTCTGAGATAAGAGAAATATCCAGTAAATAGAATACAAGATAGTGATGAATTATTCTTCTTTTATAAAAAAAATAGCAAAACTATCACAAAATATAAAATTATTGAAAAGAACCAAAAGAAATAAGACAATTATTAAAATATAAAAAAATAATCAAAATTCATCATTAGTAGCAGTGTGGTTTTTGTGTTTGTGACGATTGTCGCCCGATTTAGGAGTTTTGTGATAATTGGGTGGGGGACTACTAGGTTGATAACCACTAGGTTGGTAACTACTAGATGGGTAAACACTAGATGGGGGACCAATAGGAACAGGATTGTAGGACTGGCTTGATGTTTTATGAGGTATGGCTGCTGCAGGGATAGCTGCCAATGCATTGCGTACTTCATTACCAGGCAATGTAAATACTTCTGTACCGAATGCGCCACGAAGAGTGATTGGTACAGCAGAACTTTTAGCACAGCAACCACGACACAAAAGACCCAAAACAACGAAAGGACAAAAGATCACTGAGCACAATAAAGTTGTAAGATTACACCCTTGACATCCTGCTCCTGCTCCTTCTACTTTATCTTTTATGCTGCTTATATCAGAAAGAAAGAGCATAGAATCGGTATGATCTGACTTGCATCCACATGAATGGTTTTCAAATCGTTGAATAATCCGTGAGTTTGTCAGTATCACCCTATATATCGGACCACTTCCGCAGCACTTCTGATCACATTCGTATGTCTGAAGAATTTGTTCACCAGGAGTAATGGAAAAGACATTATCGATTGTTTCTGGTTGCTGAGTAACGACATAATTCGATGGGTGTGATCGCCTATAAGTATGAATTATAAAATAGCATATAAAGGGTACTTATGATGAGCATATATTTTTTGCTCAGTTTATGTATCTGATACATGAATTAATACAATACTCTCATGTTTGCTAAAGGATTTAGCACAGAGATACGTATCAACTAGTTTCTATATTCACATAAAATATATATTTTAAATCTGTCAATTCTAGTAAAGTAGCTACTTACATTTCGTATGACATCGTATGCAAAAAAACGAATTATTTTTGTGTAATAGTAAAAGCTCGTTAAGAGTATGTGATTCAAAGAACTGTAAGCAACAGACTTGTTAAGATATTATCCTTGATGATAAAATGTGATTACATTCGTTGTTTAGAAAAGTTTTCATTTATATACTGAGAGATATATCTACAAACCTCGATTCACCACTGTTATCGGTGAATACATCTTTCGAAGAATATTAAAAAGTCAAAAACAAAAATCCGAGAAACAGTATTTTTATCTTTATTTGTTTAGCAGGTCTAAGTTGAAAACAATCTTGAGAATGGGGATATATGTGATCTATCTTTCAACAACAGTCACACTCACCTCCACACTCACACCTTAGCCACCTATACCCACACCGACCCGTTAGAAATAACTATCTGTGCGATTATCCAAGAAAGAAAGTGATGAATAGTTGATAAAAGATAATGAAAACGACACTAAGAGCATTTCTTATCAGTTAACCTTCTATACATGTGCATCTTTTAACGAAATTTTCTAAGGATTGAAATATATTAATATAATTTTGCACTTAGAATTATGTTTTACTCTTAATGATCTCTAGTTATGTAACAAAAACTAGATATTCAAATCGATATGTGACCAGTGAAATAATCAGATTTTGAAAACATCAAATAAATGAATCAAAATAAAATACCATAAACTCGAACTTTACTAATATTTACTTTTGTAACAGTTTAAGTAATTTTTATTGTTAAAAACAAAACAAAATAAAAAAACACTCATACTTTAAAATGTATACATATACAATTATTACAGCACAAAAATCATGCATGAATATTGATAAAAAAATATTACTTTCATTATAGATTAATCATAAGTATTATCTGTTGTATAATAATCATAATAAGATATAAAAATATTGTAAGAGATTAGAACTGTTACTGCTATAAAAGCAACAAATACTAAAAAATATTCTTGTGGTTTTAGTTTTATTGAACGTGGTCGTTCTCTTGTCTTATGTTTTCTTAATGATGGGCAGTGTTCGCGATAGTTAGGACGTTGAGTTTGTTTTAAATTTTTTCCTCTTTCAGATGCTATACCATATGTTGCAAGAAGTGAATTAAGACGCAACCTAGATATGACAAGAGGAAGAAAAACAAAAATAATAACATTTATTAAGTTTTCATTGTTATTACACACTCAAAACAAAGCAAGCCATTCAAAAAAAGGAATAGATATTTGAATTATCACGACAACAGATAAAACTCACATGTTTCAACCTTCGATAAGGTAAAAAAACAAACTCAATCTAGAATAGAATGATGAAATCTATTTTTATTACTTTTCGTTCTTAAAAGACTTGAATAAAATCAAAAGAATATAGTTTATTGTTGTAAATGAATAATGATATACATTTTTATGATTAATTGTTCTTTTTTTTTTTGTTTTATAAATAGTTATAGTTAAATTAGAATGATAGAGAGATTAGAGAAAAGAAAAAAAATATTTTACAATGAAACGGGGAAACAATCACGTCTGTATATATGTTTGAATGGCAAAAAAAGAAAAATATACAAATTGAGATGATAATCTTGATTAAGAGAAAAAGTAGAACTGGTGTCTTTTTTTTTGTACATAATGTTACATAGAATAAATCGATGTTGAAAGTTAATCGATATCTTCAATGCTACCGCCGGTTAATATTTCGATGACTTTATTCAAATCATTATTATTTTCTGAAAGTAAAAGTTGATTTGTTTGACGATTAGCAAAACCCATTTCAATCAATATATCTATTGGATTATTTGATAAAATTGAATTTTCATTTCCTTCAACATGCTCAAAATAATCATCATTATTTGAATTATTTGTTTCAATTAATGGTTGTTGTTCTTGAACAGGTGTATTAAACTAAAAATAGATGATTTAGTATATATGATTAAATAAAATAAGATAACTAACTTCATCATTTGCTTGTAATGTATTAAAAATAGCTTTAGCTGTTGAACCTGCATGTTTAGCAACACTAAAAATATTTGTTACAACTGAATCAACAAAATCCAATGATTGACTAAAAGAAAAATTATTATTCATATAAAATTTATTAAATTTCATAACTAACTTTGCTCGTAATGCTTGTTGTTGACGTTCTTCATTGGTAGTATTTGGGATGGCAGGTGTTAATTCAATTAATGGCATTTCATTAGAATTTTCTACTGTTGATAATAATGGTGAATATGCAAAAGTTGATAAACTATCATTGTCGCTGACATCAGGACTTTGAAAAGTATTGATTAATGATTCCGATTGTGTAGTTGTTGAATTTGAACGAGGTAAAAGAAAACTTGACTAAAATATATACAAATATTATAATAAATATTAATATATTTAGAATATACATACACGACGGGGATTATTATTTGATATTGTTTCATATGGTTTTGATAAATCGAAACATGATGGTAATGGTATATCAACAAATTCAAATGTTTCTTTAACTTCTGGAATTGATTCTAGAAAAAACAAAATATAATATTAAAATTGTACAAGATATTTTTTCTTTCATACTTTCTATTGTTGATTGACCAACTTGAATTGAACACCAAATCATTGGACCAAATGTTCGATGACGAAATGAAAGTATCCATTTACTTTCATATGTACCTGGTTCATTATTGCATGTATAATCAACAGTAATAAGTGCTCGACTATGTGGTGCTGTAACAGGAACAATAGGTTGATTAACAACTTTAATACCATCAGTTAGATTGATTAATTCAATATCATCACTACTCCATGGCATTGAACCATCATTAAGAAGAATCCAGCCTTTACGAAATACTTGTCCAGGTTGCATTGGCGTTCCATCAGGTGTATTTTCATCAGCAATAAAACGAGCTGAATATGGACTAGAATAAAAAAAAGAAGTTTTCTAGTTATTTTTGGTTGTAATTCATTCATACCGAAGTAACTTGAGTTTTTCTTCAATTTTTAAAACTTCACGTAAATTTCCATGACGTGTAGCTGTTTGAAGATCATCATAGAGTGAAGCAATTTTTATTTTCATCGGTGCAAAAAAACGAAGAATATCATCTGGATTTGATCTGTAAATAAAATAAATAAATAAATATACATAGATAAATATACGAATCATACCGATCATAAGTTTTAACTGTTTTTGTATTTGATCGTGTATTTTCTTTTTTAGTTAAATGACGTTGTTGTTCCCGACGATGTTTTCGTTTAAGTAAACGTTTTTCTGATGATGATAAGATATCCTAAAGATAATAAAACAAAAGATTTTTTTTTGTCCCTATCTTCATTTAATTATTCTTACATCAGTAGTACAATCAGTTGCATGATGACGAGAAAATAATGGTACTGTTACTTGTTCATCTGTACGTTGTTTTTTAATATTCTTATAGAGAAAAAAAGAAAGAAAATTTTTTTCATTTGAAATCAATTTAATATTTACTTTTCGTTCAATATCACCATTGTTCATTGTTAATGAACGAATATTTTCTGCAAGTTGTTCATAACAATCTGGATTTTTAGATTTTTTACTAATCGTCATTTTTTCTAATGGTGTTATTAACTAAAAAAGAAAACGAATTTATTAAAATTGTATATTTAATTAGTCATATCATACTGGAGCAATTGGTGTTTCTTCCGTTTTTGAAATTGATGATATTTCAAGTATTTCATTAACTTCATCATTCATTTCATAATTAAAACAAACTTCAATTAATGTTTCATTTAATTCATTTAACTGAAAACAAAAGAATTTAGTCTTGGCATATTATTGAAATTCTTTACTTGTTCATTTGATCTATGCGTAGTTTTTTTCATTTGAAGAAGATATTGAATTGCCTGACGAATTGGTCGTGTAAATAATAAACGAAAACGACGTAGTTCAATACATTGATGACATTTTGAAAATAATTTTAGTAAACAATTATATTCCTAGAAAAAAGTATAAGTTAAAACAAAATAAAACTATAACGAAGGAAAATCTTACAATTGCGCTTGTTACTGTTGGATCTGTAGTATTTATAGATTCAAATAAAGCTCGAAGATTTTTTAAACCATTTTGAGCAATAAACTAAAAGAGAATATTTTCTATATGATTTTTATCAAAAACTAAAACTAAATTTACGCGTTGAATAAACGATCGAAGCCAACCATAACATTCATTTCGATTCGTAAAAGTTGTTCGTAAAAATTCCTCATCATCTAATGTATAATTACGATTGGTTGGTAATTGTTCATCTTTATGTTTTTGAGAAAATGTTGTATTTGTATCAAATGTCTAACGAAACAAAAAAATATACATTTTTTCTTAGAACAAAAAATAAGAATTAAACAAACCAATGCAAGTATATTTAATAAAGTTGTTGGTACAGGTGTATAACGTATACGAGTACCAACTAAATCAACAAGTAATTCAATCATATCAAATATTCCATGTTGTATTTCACGTGGCCAGGAATATACAGATTGAGTTGTTTGTAACTATAGGAAAAAAAGTGGTTAGAGTTAGTTTTATTCAGCATATGTTCTTTAGTAATTTTTAACCATTATATTTCTACTGATATGGATCTATATTTTCTTCATTATTATAGTTCATCGATTTGCAGATTTCGGAGATCAAATCGAAGAAAATTTCTCTGTAACTGATTCTGAGTAGTGTTCAGCTTCGTCGTTTAATTATAAACAGGATATGGTGACTTTAAGAGCGTTAGTAATTATAGCTCCTGGTTCTCGAAATACGGTTAGAATTGTGTCGTAAAAAAAGAGATTTTTATTTACATATTGAACTTAAAGTGTATGAAAAAAATAATTTGAATCATTAAGTTACAAACACTTCCAGAATCTCCTTAGTGGCAGTGAAGCCTCTCTATAGCCGAAAGATCCGCATTAGTTAAGACAGTTCTTTTGTAAATTTGCTATTTACTCTGCAAATAAAAACTTCTTCTATTTCTTGTTTATGTGTGTCGATGATTATCGCTTCCTATATATTTCTCAGATGATCATGGTGTAATTCGGTCAAACTTGAATTCATAATATTAAACAAACAAATATATTCTTTCAGGAAGTTAGTTACATATAATTATAATCTCGGTAAAAATTCAAATTTTACAAGAGTTCTATAAAATAATACATACTTTTCGAAAAGCTTCGGGTACAATTTTTTCAATAAATTCTTTACATTCAACATTTGAATCAAGTTGACCTTGAAATAGAAAATGAAAAACAAGAATATTAAATATTCCTTTCTAAAAATACCTACCTTCTTGTGCTAATATAATCGCTGATGTAAGACAAACACCCAAGGCTTCATCTAATTTAACTGGTATATACCATTTATCAACAAGAATATTGTTTCGAAGATTTTGAAGTTTATCCGTAGGGAAAGCAGTTACTTTTGGTAGATTTAATTCTACTATTTTCGGTTTTTCTATATGATATATGCCATCAAATGTATGTACATCATCAATATAAATCGAAAGTATAAGTGATTTAAGACCATGATCTCGAGCAAACTAGACGAAAAATAAAAAGAGGATTATTAGGTAAATATAAAATCAGTAGATTTACTTTAACATTGGTATCAAATTCATCCTTATTTTCAATACGAATTTGTTCTTGTTCTTCATCTATCATACATATTTTAAAATTTTTCTTTGTATTACGACATAAAAATTCAGCCTATAGAAATAAAATATATAATAGTAGGAAAAGATTATTTTATTAATTTACGTACATATCGAACTAATCCATTCCAATCAGTTACTTCAACCGAATTTTGTTTATTATCTGTGTCAGCCGAATTGGATGACATTTTTTGATAAATCTTCTTTGATTTAAGAATAAAATAAAAATGACAAAAATCTAAAGATATTTTGTTTATATATTTCAAAAAATATACGAAGATACTTCGAGAGTATTACTAATATCGATAATAAGCGTGTACTCGTGATAAATAGTTAACGTTGTGCAAGACAAAGACAGACTCTTTCGAGAAGGACGAAAGAAAAAAAAAATAGGAACGCATATGATGAGTATATAAAATAGAGTATGAGAAGAAAAAAAAGAGAAAATAAATACATCCGACCGCCATAATATCGCGTTCTCGAGTCATATGGGAGGTTACAATATAAAGAAAAGAAGAAAAAAAAGAATCATGAAGTATTATATTTATGAAGTTAACGAAAAAAACCCAAATTGACTATCTCATATAATATCAAACGATGAATTGTAATAGGATAAATGTTGATATTATTTCAAATCAGTTTGAAAAAGACCGGCTTACAGTCATGATCATTTCTGTCTAGCATATATTCACTATTGTCGAATGTATTATTTAAGTCAAAGCAAGATCTTATTCATGCATATATGAATTTGATTCTTAATATAAAATCATTTCTCTAAAAAAAATTATCTATCATGAATATTTTATTCTATCATTATTTCGTGATTTCCATAAAAGACATTGCATCATTCGCATGTTTTCATATCATTAGTAAGAAGTAGATCGAATGTCTATATACAGTAATATACATGAACGAATAATTATCAGTCCTTAGCAATAATTTGTCGCATAAGGGAACATATTAAATTGTTTACACATTTATTTCGTTAATTATAAGTAGACCTTAATCGATTGTAGAAGATACATTTATTTCTATTGTATCAAAATTTCCTTTTAATAAATGTTAGAGCTATTTGATCTACATAGTTCTAGTATGTTTGGCTTAATATAATTTGTCTAAAATCTTCATACCTGTTTAAAGTTTATAAGTGAATGTATACATTTTAAAATATGAAATTCTATTCCTTTTGGTTAAACAAAAAATTTTTTTATCAAGTGTAACTCTAAGACAATAATTTATAATTCTATATAGTCATATGTATTTGTAAATCTAAAAAGAAAACAAAGCGAAATGTTTACTAGATACTGTTTTTCTTAAGTTGATGATGTTTTATTTTAATTTATTCTTATTCTCGGTCAGAGATAATATGAATAATTGACGATAGAAACAGCAAAACAAAACAAAAAAGAAAATAACAATATGTTCGTTGCTGTTATCGTTTTCAATCTAATATCTTATTGTTTAGAATTTTTGAAATTGTTTCTTTGAACCGGCTGCTTTAGTGACCTTGAGAACATTGAATCGAACGGTCTTACATAATGGGCGACATTCACCAATAGTTACAACATCACCGATTTGTACATCACTAATATAAAATATTTATCAATAAATAATTATTTATTCTTTTGAAAATTATCATACCGAAAACATGGACTTAAATGTACGGACATATTTTTATGACGTTTTTCAAAACGATTATATTTTCGTACGTAATGTAAATAATCTCGACGAATAACAATTGTTCTTGTCATTTTAAGTTTCATAACTGTACCAGTAAGAATACGACCACGAATGCTAACATTGCCGGTAAATGGGCATTTTTTATCGATGTAGGTGCCTTCAATAGCCTAATAAGAATAGAATTAATTAAATTGAAAAGTTTGTTTATTATTTACTTCTCGTGGTGTTTTGAAACCTAAACCAACATTACGTGTGTATCGTTCAGCACGACCTGTTTTGCTAGCTTTAACTACAGCTTGTTTTCTATTTAAGAAAATAGTTGGTTGTTTTTGAAAAGAACGTTCCTAAAAAAATAGGAAAATTTACATGATGAATAATAACATATGTTTTTTCATACGTGTTCCATTGTTGATTAAAAATGATGGTTAACACCTGTGAGAAAGATCTAAAACGAATAAAATATATTGAAAAGAAGTTCTCAAAAAAAAAGTTTCTGAAACGATTAGAGTCATCTAGCTGAAAAGAAAATAATCGGTTTGGATGTGGTTGTTCGACCTCACCAATACACGCCATGAAAAATCAGATAAAGTCTCCGTTTATAAATTGAAGAAAACAAAGATAAAATAACATTTTATTCGTCTTAAAACTTCTTCTGAATATTTTTAGCTTTATACCAAGAATTTTTATCATGAAATGGTATATTGTCTGCAATTCAGTAGATGTCGCTATCAAACAAAATGATACTTTTATATCTAATAGATGGTCTACTAGTTAACAATAACTAAATTCGAAAATGCTTAATTCATTTGTTTATTGATCTTATAATTTTAACTCATATAAAATTTAAGAATATTTTCAAGCCTAAGATAGTATACCTACTCGAATACGGAACTTTACCTAGTGATACAGAGAGTATCGAGATATACACGAAAAAATCTATGATCAGAAATTATATAACAGCTATTGATAAACGTATCATATTACAATCGTCCATGTTCACAATGATGATCAACTTCATACAGAAAAATATCGGTAAAATCTTTGAAAACGATTAAGATATTTACAATAGCAATATAAATATTAATTTCTATTTGAACCGAAATATTTCATACGCCTTATTAAACTTATCAAGATGGCTTTCAACGTAGACACAATCATTGACTCTTTGACTAATGAAAATTATCGGGTATTCATATCTATGAAAAAATAAAAGATAGTAAATATGTAGATATGACAAAAAGATCTTTCAAACAGGAAAATTACCTGGATTCTTTTGCTTTTATATTATGTTAAAACAATCGAACGCAGGGGCGTAAGTCAGGTGTCAGAGCAGGGGGGCGTAAGCCTAGTTTTTCTATTTCAATGGTCAAAAAAAGTGAACTTTCTAGAAGCAGGGAGGGGGGCGCAAACTCCTTTTTCCTATTAGTTTTCACAAGCAAGGGGGGTTATGCGCCCCACGCGCCCCCCCCCCCCCTATTTACGCCGCTGACCGAACGATAAAGGATTTTTTGTACTAAATTTCTCGTATTCTCTGTCTCTGGTGATTTTCGTTATCTTAATTTCGATGACAAATTTATTAATTGATACTTTCATTATCGTCATCACAAAAAATAAATTATTATATTCAATCTGATCTGATTGATTTTTAGGAATATGTAAATAGGAAAGAATCGAAATTTAATATAATGATAATAACTTTATTGTAAAAATTTTCACTGGATAACATACTGTTAAACAATATACATATAATTTTAGACTTTGAATTTAAAACATTTCTACTTCGAGTATTATTTCTGCATTATATATATATGTATGCGACAATCATATTTACTCTTTTACTCGAGGGTGGAATATACATTCTATGCATGCAGAATCAACCTACGTATTCTCTCAAATGATTGTATATTTGTGATATTGAAAAAAGAATTGCATCAACATAGAACTCCTTTTTTTTCTCTTTCGTTCTTTGATTTCTCCTTTTTTTTATATTTGTTTAGTGGTAAAAAGCGAGAATAAATACGACTGAATAATTATCTGACACATAAATATTGGTGATTAAGTGGTGCGTAGAAACAGTAATATAGTACAGAATAGAATTTTGACGATCATGGATAAGCAGAAAATAATCAATAAGAAAACATGTTTCATGTTATTATTACTGATAACGATGGTGAATAGTTTTGATAATCGATATAAACATCGTTCGTCGATTCTTCGAAATCTTCAAAGTTAGTATCGAATATTCTTAATTCATCAATTAATAAATATTCTATTTAGATTTATTAGAAGATGATGAACAAGAATTTCATTTAAAAACTCGAAATAGTAAGTTGTTTTAAAATGACTGTAATATATATATATATATAAAGATATCCGAAGTTTTCAAAGCATTTTAAATATATATAACGAACAAATATAGAGATTATTCTAATAAAATTGTCAGTTACAAATAATTATCATATAACATGTATGTGACATGAATAAAAATTATAACCAATTTTCTTTCGTTATAAATTGACTGATTCTATTTTGTTAATATATTTTTAGAACAATATGAAAATAATGAAGAAAGTGATGACATCGAATCAGGTATGTTGATATTTTAAATACTGTCGAATATATTAATACAGTGACTTTTCGAACCAAGCTTTTTACTCAGACTTTTGTATACGATTAACATGAAATATTAGTAGTAGAATTTTAATACTCATTGATTAATTATCATCTAGGGTTTAGGTTTCCTATTGTATGTTTCCTGACAGAATATTTCGTATTAAATCGAGATTCAAGAGTGTGCATTATTTTATTATTGTATAAAACACTTCACAGTTTACCTGTCAAATATCAGGATGAGAATTAAATAAGAGTAAATGTACGATAGATATTTTGACAATCGAGAAAAAAAAACAACTTAGGTCAGTATTTTATCTGGAATAAACTATCGGATAGAATCATTGACAGGACCTTTTACATCATCTGTGCAGTTCTATCCATATTAAACATAAAAAGAAACTTGTAATATCCACTGTTTTTCCAGATCGTCGAATTTTCGATAATGATCAACAATATATGGAAGTACGTGCAACTACCGGAACAAACGAAACAAATACTGGTAAATATTGATTATTTGCATTTTTTTTCTCTAATTTTAAATTCAGGACCAGAAATAACACTTCAAAATCGTGCTGCAATGAATACTCGTCTTCGTGTTCTTTATACTGATGCGAATGGTACTCCAGCAATAGCTGAAACTGGTCGATTATGGACTGGACAAACAAAATCTGTAAAACTTCCAGTAGGTTCTAAGAACATAAATATTATCGTTGAAAAAGATCTATTTTTTGAAACATGGCGTGTAGCATATAAAGGTACATTAACTAATGAAAATCAATGTGTACGTATTGTTGGTGTAACACTTTTTTCAAAAATTCATCCGTGCAAATAAAAGATTAAATATAACAAAACAAAACAAAAACAGCAATAAAACAAAAATGATTAATTACTACATTACATGTGTTTCTTTTAGTACAACATGATTATAAATAAAATTGCAATAATAAAACATTCAGTTTTAGAGATATATATATATACATAAAGTAAAACAAATAGAGATGTGTAAAAGAGATTAAGTTTTAGTATTCATTTTGAGAAATAGAAGCGTTCTGAATAGCTGCACGCTAAAATAAAATCAAATCATGTAATAGAATAAAAGAAGAGCAAAAAAAAGAAATATTTTACCCATATATCTAAAATATCAGTAACAGTATGTTGAGTCGGCAATTGAAATAAAAAGTAAACAAAATTTCGTGATATTGATTCAAAAAATGTATTGCCATCTATTAATAAAAAGAAAATCTTGAGTGTTATGTATGATGTGTTGAAAATCATGATCTTTTAAGAAATTCATTTATCAATCAAACGATATAACTGATCTTTTTCTTGATTTTATAGAAGAGAATATACTCTATATATATATATGGGATTCCTGAAATTCGTCAGCGTTATTACATATGTATAAAAATAGCTCCTCGTGACTATATTGAGGTACAGGGGCCTAGCGAGGTTCCGAAGCCAGGGGGGGTGCAAAACCCTTTTTGCTTCAAACTAACACGTAACAACCCTTGTTTTTGATTTTATTGACAAAAAAAAACCAAAAATTTCCAAAGCAGGGAGGCGTGACACCCCACGCGCCTTCTACTCGCTACGCCCCTCAATGAGGGGTTTAGATTATAATATGCTTATTCTGACAATACTAAGTTAATTTGTCATATGCATTTTACACTAATCTTGTGTTGTTACAGTTAGCGAAAATCCACTAAACTTACGCTAGATCGCGCCTGAACTTTCGCCAATTAGCGAAGAGACAATAAGCCATATATGTAAATATCTTACAGTGGCGGGTTTAGGGCGGAGAGCGATCACCCCATCGCCCACCCTTCCGAATTTTTTTTTGATTTTTCACAGCAAAAATGAACGAAAAAAAAGGTTCACACTACTTCGATTAGACTCAAAAAATAGCTTTTAGCCAAAATCGTCTCTCCCTCCTCAGGTATCGCCCCTTCCAAAATCCTAGATCCGCCACTGATATCTTACCTGAATTTTCGAGTCTATTTGGTGTTGTATTCATTGTTGTTGATACTAATGAAAGAATTTCAGGTGATACATTTGGATATTGTATTGTTAATTTCATTTTTAATGGTGGAACAATAGGCATATTATTTTCAACAAAACGACATGTTAGTTCATAATCATGAATAAGTAAATCTTTATTTTTAAGTATTGATGGTGATGATGATATTTTATCATACATAGGTTTTAATTCATATGAATATGTATTCGTTGATAAATGAGCAAATTCACTTTCAATTATATTAATTAATGATGTATCAGAATGAGTATTTGCTAATGGTGGATTTTGATCAATGATCTGTTTTGATTCGGAATCCAATCGTATAGTTCTGAAATTTTCATAGATAATAATTGAAATCATGTTAGTCTTAGAATTTTTGTTTTTACATACTTATGTGGTACACCATTAAGAACTTCACTTAATGGTTCTAAGAATCGTTTTGCAATATTAAATTTTAATGTTGGATCTTTATTTAAATAATCAACAATTGTACGTTGACATTGTTCAAAAATTCCATTTGATATTAAACGAGAATTATTTGTACTTGATGGTACTGTTGTTGATGTATCATTAATTGGTGGCATCATAATTGGTCCAAGCATACGATCAACATGTTCTTTGAGACGACGTGCAGACATTAAATGTTCAGGAATAGGATTTCGAACAAAATTCGACATTTGATCTTGTAATTGACGATATTTAGCTACTTTATCATGTTGACCTAATTAAGAAAAATAAAGAATTTCAAAAACTTCATACTTTAAATATACCGTCTTGTTGATATCGAGCAATTACTCGAGTCAGATGTAGAATACGTTCATTAAAGAATTTGAAGAGAAAATGCATTTCATCATCAATCATTGCTGTTGGACTGCCAGTATAATCTATAGGAAAAAAATAATGTTTTAGTATTTATTTGAAGTTTATCATATGTTCTTACTTATCATATTCATTGGTGATGCTTGTGGACGGTAAAGACTATTTTGTGGAGATTGAGCCATCATGTAACGTGCTAATGGACTTTGTCCAGGTGGACCTATAGATGTTGGTTGTTGTTGTTGTTGTTGTTGCATCATACTTGGATGAGAATGAGGTGATACAACACTACCAGATGTTATCATTGGATCAGAACCTCTGTAAGGAAAATTTTGTTGAAAATCGAATAAGACAAGGTTTTTTTCACTTACGGAGGTATTGGACTTGGCTGTTGTTGTATCGTAGCTTGAGCAGTAGATGCTGGTTGATTACGAACATTTCGATTCATCTACAAAATGTTGGTTTCATTTAAATGTTTTTACATGATTTCATACATACGTTACGTAGTCTAACTTGTGCTGCATTTTGAACAGCATTCGATGGTTGTTTAGGTGGATTAGGACTAGTGAGAATATGTTGAAGAACTAAATAAAATATATAATTTTAAATATGATGAATACAACTAAGAGATATTTACTTTCATCTTGACTACCAGATGATGATGATGATGGTTGAGGTAGTACTGAAGACGCTGCTGGTTGTTGTTGTTGTTGTTGTTGTAATTGAGAAGAATTAGGTGAGTCTTGTTGTTGTTGTTGTTGATTGAGATGATTCTGTTGACGTACTTGTTGAAGATGCTATACAATAAAAGTTAATCATCTTTTTGTTTTACAAAAGTTCAAGAAAAAGACACTACATATTAATTGTTTAAATCTTTATACTATTCAAGAATTTTTTATTCAATCAAAGTTTAAACTCAAATAGATAAATCCGTTGGTGTCGGAGTTTCTTTTTTAAAGAATTCCTTCACAAAGATATCATGAATAGTTGACTCATTTTTCATGTTTTGTTGCGTCAGAGTATACATGATATTTCCTTAGGGTAGCTATTTATAAGGTAGTCGAGGATATAAATGTAGTTGTAAATGAATTGTTAGTCTTTCCTAGGACAACTTTCGTTTTTGGATACCAATATATATATATATATATAGTGTATAAATCGTTCTACTCATCAAAAAGAATAAGACTATGGTACGTTCGATACATGTCAGTAATATCATATTTAACACTTTCTTATATATATTTAAAGTAGATGTTGTCGATGACTTCTCTGGATATTTATCGTTTAAATTGACTTTTCAATCGGGGTTTTAACTAACCTGAGCAAGTGTACGTTGTACTGGTGTTGGTGCTGTCGGTTGAGAAGGAAGAATAGTTGAAGCTTGCTGTTGTTGTTGTTGTGGTTGTGGCATGTATTGAGATGGTGGAGGTTGCAATGGTTGTTGTTGTTGTTGTTGTTGTTGTTGTTGTGGTCGCATTTGTGAGATTTGTAAACCAGGTTGCTGTTGCTGTTGCATTGTTGATGTCATTAGTTCTTGTTTGATTTGTTGTTGTTGCATTGTTGATGTCATCAATTCTTGTTTGATTTGTTGCTGTTGTTGCTGCTGTTGCATGGAAAAATTTTGTATTGGTGCTCTTGGTTGAATATTAGATGGAGGAGCTTGCGGTTCTTGTTTAACACTTATCATAGATGTTGGTTGAACGTTTGATGATGGTTGCACTCTATAGGAAGATTGAACTGTTGTTGGTGGTGGTGGTTGCTGTTGCTGTTGTTGTTGTTGTAGTGGTGGTTGTTGTTGTTGAAGCATTCCAGTCATTTGGCTTTGTTGCGGCTGCATGTACATTTGTTGTTGGCCCTGTGAATTCATCATCGTTTGTTGTTGCTGTGGCTGTGGCTGTTGAAGCATTGCAGTCATTTGTGTTTGTTGAGGTTGCATATACATTTGTTGTTGGTTCTGTGAATTTATCATTGTTTGCTGTTGTTGTTGCAGCTGTTGTTGCTGCTGTTGTTGTTGTTGCTGCTGTTGCTGCTGCTGTTGCTGTTGTTGTTGTTGTTGTATTTGCTGACTTCTCTGTTGTAGTAATAATTGAATCACTCGTTTATAAAGTGCCTAAAATAAAAAAATCTCCAATTCTGATAAACAAAAAAGAAATCAATTTACTAATTTTCCACCACTTCTATTATATGCAATATCATCAAAACGCACTGCCGAATCTCGATTACCACCAAAATGACTTGTTCTAAAAGAAATTTTTAGTTAAATATTGTTACGATTAAAAGTATAGATTATTTATTTACAGTCGTCCAATGAAGTTTTCTCTTTCGTTTATGCTGATCATTTGTTGATCATCGGATGTACCTGTACCATCTGTATTCATCATCTTTATCTAAAACATATATAACATTGATGGAATTTTGATTTATTTCTTTGAGTGATGGTACACCGGTGTCTGGTGTTATCTATATATAATAAAAAAATGAACAAAAAACAGCACCAAACAAAAAAGACAAGTAAAGCATTAAGAATCATTTGAGCCGAATAAAAGAAAAGTGTATTTATGTGTTTGTTGAATTATTTAAACGCTTCTTCCAAAACCATTTTTGATATTGATTTGTTGCTTCACAACTTGACATAAATACATCTTTATCATTTCCTTGTGATAATTCAATACAAAAACCTGATGCATGTCTCAACATATCATCCTAAAAATTAAAAAAAATGTTTATTTATTTCTTTTCATTATAGTTCTACTAAATCAAATCAATGTACTTCATATTTCCACATTTGATTTCCTTGCATTGAATGGCAAGAAAATGAGACAACTTTTCCTGGTTTCTTTAATTCACCTTGTCCACCAGCATAATCTAGACATTTTTCTTCGCGACGAATCTCGAATGTTTTTGACATAAGAAAATATTGATTTCCACCTTGACCATGACATGGATAACCAATAATAGATTTATCACCATCTTCAAGTTCTTGTGAATCAATGCACACACTTGTTTTTGCACGACTTCGAATCTTAAATCAATAAAAAATAACTGAGTATTTTCTTTTTTCTTTTGATAAGAAAAAAAATACGTTACCTCACCAAAATATAAACTTTCACCTGGAATAAACTGTTCAGGATAGACATTCTCAAGAAACCATTTGAATGATTTACACTGAAGACGTTCACGAATTTTGATTCGATCAGATACATCACCATAATCACCCTGAAAAAGACAAACAAAAGAAAAGATTGAAATTCTTGTAAGATACATATAAATAATCGTAGGCATGTAACCACAAAATTTCTTTATACATTCTTTTCTATTAATTATGCATAAAAATACGTGATGTTTATATTCTATGCTACATATTTTCGAGAATTGATGATTCTCTACACTTATCCATAGCTCACTCAAATATTTCAATACAAAAATAAATACTTACAAGATTATTCGAAATTCTTTCATAATAATATTTCTACAATAATAAAAACAAAGGATAGTATAATTTGTTTGTTAAATTTATTAGATTGTTTTTACTTTATAATCATCAAGCCAAACTTCAGCAAGCCGAACCGTATTCTTTTTAACAACATTAACATTACTAGGCCATTGATATGGTGAACGCTTTCGAAAAATATGACCGACATGTGAACATGGTGCACACAAAAGTTCACCACCGCATTGCCAAACCTATATCAAACATAAAACATATATTTATTTATTTTGATCTTTCTCTTTCCTTATTTACCTTGAAAGAAAGTTCAAGATTTTCACCACCCCAAATATCCATGCCTGGATCATACATACCAAGTTGATCAAACCAATCTCGATCAATAGCAAATAAACCACCAGCCATTGTTGGACTCCTGTAGACATTAGAACTTTATATTGTCTATATACATTTTTTGTTTTGTATATACCTGATTGGATCGGTCTTTTTTTGTCTTCTTTTCATTTCTCGTTCAGGTGTAACATGCCAATTAAAAATAAGATTCCAATCAAACCCGCCTACTTGTATATTTTGTATTGGTGTACCAATTAACTGGAATGTCGAGTCATCAATAATTTCAATTAATGGAACAACAGCTACTTTTGGATTTCGTGCAATTGGATCTAAGAGTGGTTCAAGCCAACCTACATATAGAAATAAGTAAATAAATATAGAATAAAGATGTATATACTGGCTAAACAATGTCGATTAGATAATAAGTCGAAATTAAGCGAGAAATTTAACGTTTTTGTTAGTGTCATTCTTCTGTTTGTTTCTCATGCTCTACGTTCTCAATATCAACGTACCTATATAAGATGAAACTATAGATATTATTATGGAATAATTCCAAAAATAAGTCTTAACAGTTTGCTAATAACTAACTATAACAGAATAAAAAAAACATCAAAATTCGATATTAGTTTTTGTTTTTTATAAGTACATCATAAACAAGTATGTCAAAGAAACTTTGATTTTTCTAAATGCTTTTCTTACCTTCGGCACATTCACAATGTGAATCCAAAAATATCAAAACTTTTCCTTTTGCAACAACAGCACCTTTCAGACGAGCACGTATAAGACCTTCACGTTTATCTGTACGAACTAATCGAACATTTTTTATTGATTTAATATCATCATCAAGTGCTTGTTTCAAATGTACTAATTAAAAAGAAGAGATCAAATTAGATTATTCGAGTTCAAATATCTCTTTGACTTACCGATAACGCACCTTTATCAGAAAAATCATCAACAAGTATCACTTCTTTTAGTAGATGAGGTGGTGAACGATCAATAACAGACCAAACTGTACGTAATAATGCTGAACGTGCTTCATTATGAAATATAATAATAACCGATGTGTCTGGCAAATTTGGATGAAAATCAACTTTTTTACATCTAAATCAAAAATTATTTTTTTACTTTTGGACAATAAAATTAAATTTTGATTACTCAGGATCACGTATATCTGCTAAGTTTCTTCTCAATGAAATCATATCACTAACATATTGATTAAATGCATTATTTTGCCATCCATCGTCATATTTTTTTCTTTCTTCTTTTGATAATTTATCTTTATCAATACGAACTGGATTACCCATTTCACCTGGTCCACCAGTTTTAGGATCGTTATGACCATTATTCATATCAGGTGCAACAACTTGTACTTGACCACTCATGTTACGTGCTTGTTCAACTGCTCGAAGACGTTCTTCTGGTGGATGATCATTATCAACCTTTGTTTTAAATGGTAGAACACCAATGATACGATCAACTAATGATGGTGGTGCAGTTCTATCGACTACATTTATTTGCATATCATTATTTGATTGAGATAACGAATCAGTACGAAAAGTAAATAAAACAATAGCACCAAGCCATATTGTTAAAATTAGCAATATATATTTAGCATAACCTCGTCGACGTATTGGCATGATTTAGATAATAAATGAATATACTATTTAGAAAAAAGTATGCTCCTGAAGTAACATTATATGTGATGAGATTAAATATTTCTTTTGGTTGAAAATGTTCTGTTCTGTTCTCTTCCGTAAAGTTGACAATTCCATAGAATATATTCTATGGATTGAAGTGCATAGATGAGTAGAATATATAATAGAAATTGTTGACAAATAGAGATGTTTGAATATAGTCACAATAATATTTTGAAGTGTTTCTTTCTTTTTCTTCATGGACAAAAATATTATGATGTGATGTTCGAAGGTAGAATGAGAAACTTTAAAGAATTTATACGGATGTTATTTACATTAATAAAATATGTTTCAATTTAATTAAAAATTAAATTATTAATCTACATCATGATTTCTTCATTACAATATGGTTTCAATTTGATAGAAATCTATTCACGCATGCTAATACGGGAATATCAAGATATAAAATGTAAAGATAATTAAAAATCTATCAAGATCGATATGTGCTGATCAGTAATCTAAATATTTCTTTTATCAAAATTGAAACAAAGTTATTGTTCTCATAAGAATTATTTTAGTTTCTTTTATGTTAATTAATTTCGTAGTGACTTTCGAACATATGTGTCATCATATCTGTCTGAGTTATAGTGACATTGGTATGCAAGAATAGTCAAGGTTTCTTTAACACGATAGAAGGCTACGAGACATGACTCAATATTAAATACATATTGTAAAATAATTATAACAAAAACTTTTCTTTTCCATTAATCTTTATATCAATATTGAATTTGTAGTCCTATTGATATTTTGTTGTTTGTCTTAATCATAATAATTTCATTAAATATTAATTTCAACACGGATTTACTCTGTAATTCAAATGACACATACAAAAAAAACTGACAATGACTTTCATTACAAAGAAACAAAAAAAAACAAACCAATACAAAGTACCATTGAAAATATATACATATATTCACATATTTTTTTTTTTAGTTTTTTTTATTTCTCTTCAAATACAGATTGTTGTATCTGACATGATGTTTTCTTGTATAAATACATTTATTCCTTTTTGTTTGTTTCATTTTTAATATTACTAGAATTCAATTGATTTTCATTCATCTGTTCGGTATAATGTCGTTTACAATATGATAGTTTTTTTGCTCGTTTTGAACATTGTTCATATATACATAATGGACGCCAATGACCAATACCATCATATTGTTCACGATAACCACGTTTATTTAAACGAATTTCATTTCGTACATGAAATAGTGTTTGAGATTGATCAGATAATGATGATGTAGATGTATAAAGATAGGATGGTGGTGGCATAGGAATTTGAGAAACAGCTTGTAAATGATGATAATGTGATTGATGAAAAAGAAGATTTGATGATAAAATACTGTCAGAATTTATAGATGTAGTTATTGAATTAGATAATAATGATGTTGATGGAACTTGAGTAGGAGTCGTTGATAATAAAGACTTTTGTTTCTGTTCAGTATAATGCTAAATAAAGAAGAAAAAAAATCATTATAAAAACGAAGTCTATTAGGGATGCGCAGTTTCAGCACCGCAGTACTAACACCGGGTTCACTGATGCTGTAGATTCATCGATGCCGACGAGTGTGGGTGAATTAGCAGCATCAGTGAAACCGGTGTGAGTGCTGACAGTGACAGTTTTTGCACTGAAATTGCGTAATCCTAAAGTCTATATATCGCTAATCTCGATTTATCAGATAATCTAACTTGCCATTAAGATAGAAGTTATGAGTAGAGATGTGCACTGGACCAAAAAATGTTTTTTAGTCCCGGTCAAAGATTTGCTTGCTATTTCATCAACTTTATTGTTAAATTATTGTTTAACTACGCATTTTGAAGAGAGATGTTTGCTCTTTCTGCCTGTATATTTTAAAATATTCCACAGACCATCGTTATCAAATAATTTAGGAAATATAATGACCGGGACCAGTTTGGTTCCGGTCCCGGTCGATCTTGACGCCATTTTCTCCGTCTATCATAATCACTCAGTGTTCGCGATAGTCTTATTCTATAGAGAAAACATTTTTCTATAAAACGTATTATTCGAAACTTTATTACGCTTTTAGACAACAGAGATATGTCCAATTTTATTACCGGGACTAGAATTGACCATGCTCATCTCTAATGGTGGCTCATAAATTATGAGCCACTATATGTGAAGCTCATTCGAAGGAACAATTGCCTAACGCTCAACTCTGACATAATATATCTTCATTTTTTTCTCGTTAATCTTGAGGGTGGGTTTATTTTAAGCTTACTCGTTTACACCAATTAAGTACTTTTGCTCGTTTCATACATCCTTCGATAACACATAATTTTCGCCAATATTTTTTTCCATCAAATCTTTCGAAATAACCTTTTTTATTCCATCGAATTTCATCACGTTGGTGAAAAGACATTAGAAAAAACAATACAATCTAAAAATTAGAATATTAAAATTATTATTTTATTAGTACTTAGTATAAAAATTGCAAAGATTTGTTTTTAAAAAAAGAGTCAATATAAACAAAATACAAAATGAGATCACTATTGCAGATAAAATATTATGAAAGACGTTCGAAATTTATATTTAAATCGTGGGAGATTGAAGTTCCTCTTCAAAATCAGTTGGATCATCGTTAATATAATGTCCGGAATCAATTTGTGTACTAACACGACGTGGTACTTTAGAAAAAGAACCATGTTGGCGTTTATAATCAGCTGTCTGTTCAGCTAAACGATTTGAAATTGAATATTGTGGAATGCTTAAATGAGATACTAAAAAACAAGACTAAATTTTAAAATAAAGAATAAAAATATATATATCTTACTATAACCAAGACCTTGAAGAAAAAGTCGAATAGATTCAGCAAGTTTTGCTGGTTTTTCATCTAATACAGCTCCACTACAATCACTAAATTCAACATAAGAAGTTGTAGCTGAATCACATTGATTATTCGTATCGATAACATCATCTTTATGGGGTGATGAAGATCCAGTTATATTAATAACTGAGCATCTATAAAAAAAAGAAATAAAACTACTTCATTTTTTTATGATATTCAACATACTGTAAACTTTGAGATGGCTTCATTTTTTTATTCGATTGTGCAATTAGAATAGCTGTACGTCTATATCAAAATAAATAAAAATCGATTTTTATTCAAATCTCTATCATCATACTTTAAATATGAATTAAGAAGTTTAATCACATTCCTAACATTACAATTATTTTCTAAATGATCTCGAAGATCATTAGCTAATTCATATTGTGTTGATTCACTTGTCTAAATTTAAGAAAATTCGAATCGATTAAAATAATCTAAATATACTTACAGAACCTATAAGATGCCATATCAAATAATTCAATAAAGATTCAGTCCATCGTTGTTCTGGTATATCTTTTGTTGGCCACTGAAAAGAAAATATAGGATAGATAATTAAAATTATTTTCAAGAAAATAAATACTTTAAGAGAAAAACCTTCGAGCCATCCAACACCACGTGTACTACAATTAACCAAAATAAGACCATTGATTTTTGATGAATATTTCAATGCAAAACGAACTAAAATATTTGCACCAAGACCAACACCAAATCCAATAGCTGATTTAATACTAAAAATAAAAAATATTGATATAGTTGAATCCGAAATACAGGTCAAAAATTAATTAACGACAAGATCTCAAAGAAAAACTATACTTTAGTTCGGAATATTGATAACATACTTTAAATAATCAAATACATCATTAACTGTGTCTGCTAATTGATCTAACGTAGGATAAATCGATCTATATAAACAAAACAAGAATATGAAATATAAGAGAGAGAGAGAATAAATTCATACGCAGTTGGTAATGGATTAGCAATATCTTCTTGTCCTGGTGCATTAATATGATAAATAGTAAAATGTGCTGTAATCGGTATCATGTCTGGCATAGCAAAAAAATCATGAAATTGTGATGCAGCTAGACGAAAAGATTTTTATATTTATTCAATAAATACTGAAAAGTATATACAATTATGTCCTAGATCATGATAAGTAACGATTGCTGTGCGATTAGGTAAACCTTGTTGTGTTACTGAAACATAACCATGTTTAGTTGTAATTGGAATTATCTATATAAACAAATAAATTAATTAGGATGATGATATTATGTTTTTAATAATTAGCAAATAAACCTTTGGAGTAGTTAATGTATTATCATAAAGATTATTTCTAAGTAATCGACCTTCGGTATCAGCCGATAAATCTTCCTTCATCATCTAAAATTACGAGTAATAGTACGTGTTATTTATAATAATAGAAGAAGAGCACGAGACAAAAAAACTAGAGCAGAGACATCATCATCATCATCAAATGAGGAGGAAAGAAAGGTGAAAAGGTGAACTAAAGAGTATGTGAGAGAGAGAAAAAAAACATGTACGCATATATAAGATGATTGAGCGAGCATGAGTAAGAAGAAGAAATGAACAACTAATAGGATTCATATAGAAAATATTTTATTCGATATCTCACGCCATCTTTCGATTCAGTCTATACGAAAAGAAAACTGGACGGAATCATATATATTTTATAAATGTAAATTACACTTCAGTTATTGGATATAATAATGATTGAGATTTTTGTTGTATAGTATGGTTATCAGTATCTTTTATTGTTGATATTGAATGCCTTGAATTTTGTTGTATTGTTCGTAATTCAATGAGATCATCTTGATCTAATGAATAGAATGCTTTATGTTTGTATAACCAAAACCATAGAGCAATACCAATAAGAAAAAGAACTGTTGATGAAAGTAAAAAAACAGGAAAAAAATATCTTTGAAATTGTTCAAATTGTTTATTTATTAATTGTCGATTGTTAAGTAATGCTAAACTTATTTCACTAGTTAAAATATTATGATAAATTGGAGAATACTTAACATCCGTATCAAACTTTGTTTCAAATAAATAACGATCAGGTGAACAACAATAACGATAAGTATCTGTACCACAACAAAAATATTGAATAAAATTTTCAGTTGGACATGGAAAACCTAAACATATAATCAATTGAATGACAATTCTATTCGGATTTACTAACCATTATTCCAGGTTCCATCGATATCAAACCAACCGCTACAAACAGTATTTGATGTTTGATTAAATACAGTTGCTATTGTACTTTCAATGATTCTAGTTGTCATCATGGTTTATTGAATAGAACATTTATCAGTAAGACGATGTATATATGTAACATTAAAGAGAAGTCAAGAATGAACCAAACAGGAAAGGAAATCTCATCTGTTTAGTTAATAATTCTTTCGTATGTAGAATGATAATAATTCTTTTATAAGGAAATACAGTTAGTATGGTGTATCGATAAGAATCTTCTTGTTTTATCGAATTAGAAAAAAAACAAGAGTTTATCATGGATGATTATCACTAATGTATTACAGAGAAAGAAATCAACTAGATTAGCTACATTTACCAATAATGTCACAAATGATCATACTGGAAAATACAAAACATCATATGTAAATCTATGTTTTTTTGTTATTATTTATAACTGATGTATCATTAAAATTCCTTATTATATTATCATACAAGTAGAAGAAAAAATAAAAAAATGCACACACCATTTTGCTTATGAGAATAAAATTTAATTATTTAAAAAGCTGTTCGTTTTGTATTATCATCAGCATCATCAGTATCCGAGATTGTTCCTTGTGGATCTATAAATGTTGGATTATCAAATGCAATCGATACTCTTTGATTTGATGGAACAATAAGAGGAACAATTGTACGTGAGTCATTGATACCATTGAGAATAGCAATTTTTTCTTTATTATCAAGTGCTTTTAATTCATGACGTGATAAATGTTGTACAATAGCACAACCAATTGAATCACCAAATACATTTATTGCTGTACGAAATCGATCACTAACAAAATAAATCAAAATAGAGATTGCAATAACACGAATATAAAACTTACAGTAACCAATCAACAGCATAGATTGTTCGAACTTCATCCGATGGTAAACCAAGTGCATTAAGAACAATAACCATTGTTACAAGACCAGCCTGAGGAATACTTGCAGCACCAATTGATGCTAATGTTGATGTCAAACTAGGAAATTCTCATTTTCTTATTTTATTAATATTAATTGATTTCAATTTACCTTGTAACAATAATTTTAACAAAATTCAATGGAATACCATTAAGTTGAGCAATATATATAGCTGCTACTGCTTCATACAAAGCTGTTCCATCCATATTAACTGTCGCACCAACTGGTAAAACAAATCGTGAAACTCTTGGATCAATATGATTTTTTTCTTCAACACATCGATATGTTACCGGTAATGTTGCTGATGAACTAGCTGTACCAAATGCTGTTACTAATGCTTGACTCATTCCGCGTATATATTTAAAAACATTTATACGTGTTATAATAAAAAGAATTAAAGGTAAAACAATAAATCCATGTATAAATAATCCAGCTAAAACTGTTGCCATATAAAGACCTAATGAACCAACGAAATCTGTTAATGTATCCATTTCAAGCATTTTAGCAACAATTAAAAAGAAGATACCAATTGGACTATATAACATGGCAATACGTACAAGTTGCATAACAACTTCAAGCATTGCTTCAAAAAATTTCTTCAGTATAATCGCTTTTTCTTTTAATCGACTTATAATAACACCAAATAAAATACAAAAAAGAAGTAAACCGAGTACATTAATACCATCGCGTTTTTCTATTATTGGATCAAAAAGTGTTTTATTATAACCTATATTTTATTTATATAATTATTAATATATGAATGCAACAAAAAATACTATTACTTTGATTATTAAGACCGGTAGCAACTACTCTAGTTACATTAAGTTTCGTACCAACCTAACAAAATTAAATATATCTGATTAGTTTTTTTTCTGCTTTAAAATACTTACCGATCGAAATGCAGCTTCCATAATATTATCCGGAAAAAGATTTCTAAGATATATATATTAAATGGAATTAAAATAAAATATTTTCGATTTAATTTTTACCTGAATAAATCGAGAACAGTATCAATAGTTCGAGCTTCTGCTGATTTAGCTGCTGCTTTTTTTTCTACACTAACACCACGTGATCCAGGTCGAATAACTACTACAAGAATAATACCAATAATAGCTGCTATAATTGTTGTACCAAAATAATAAACTAATGCTCGTACACCCATTTTTCCTGATGATTGTGCATCAAGTTGAGCTAATGATGAAATAATACTTGAAACAATTAATGGTAATATAAGCATTTTAAGTATATTAATAAAAATTTTGCCCGGAAAATCAATATATGTTATATCTTCTTTTGTAATACGACATCCATTAACATATTCATCTAGAATAAAAGAATGAACATATACAAGATCCTATTATTATTGTTTTTTGTTTACCTCCAGGACATTTTAGACCTCGAAGAGCAACTCCAACACCAATACCAATGATAACCGAAGCAATAGTTGCTATGAGTAAAGCTTGTTCTTTTAGATTTTCTGTTGTACAACATTGTTGACAACAACCACTTTTTGATTTATACATCAACGAATGTGATGCTGGTATATTAATAGTATGTTGTGATGGTCTACTATGTATAGACGTGTTACGTGAACCACTTCTCTGTTTTGACATTGTAACGGTAAATGGTGTTACAGTAGATATAGAATTCTTCTTGATAAACTGCATGATCTATGAAAAGAAGTACAAAATGACAAGACACAATGACATCGAACTTACTTTATTGTTTTTGAAGAAGTTTATGTTGATAACAGCACACAAACTAATTGAAAATTTTGAAAGAATACAAGTGTATATATATATACAAGAGTTTTTGTTTTTTGTTAAATACGTAGAAGAAAAGATAAGATGAATTATCTTTTAACGGTGCTTTACATAATTCAATATAAATTTAAAAAACTAAAGCATAGAAATCCCATATAAGAATTCATGAATTATTAATTTGTTATTGTTAAATTAGATAAATAGTAGAGAGATTTAACCTTCATTGTAAGTATTGAAAATGCTGACATGATATTTATATATAGGTTTTTATTCTATCTATTTCAAAGAGCAACACCTCACATTAATGATGAAAATAAGAACGAAATTGCAATTTATTCACATTGAAAGAGTGCACAATCTTTCATTATTTGATAAAGGCAACTATCATGCTATACAATATTATAGATCATCGACAAGAGATTGGGTACTCTCTCTCTGTCTCTATCATGCATTTAGTGTGTGACGTTATGACCAAAAATTTGATATTTACAGATATTATTGATTTAATAAAAAAAAATTGAATTTTATTTATAAATAAAAAATTAATTTTTAAGTTTTGTCATATCCGGTTTAAGTCTTGGATTTTGTCCACCTACATGTACATCCCATCCTTTTCGACATGTACGAACAATCCATTGATGTTCATCATCATCTAGAAAAAATTAATATGTACACAAAAAAACTATCAATTCGATTCTTTTACCAGCATTTCTAACGAATTCTCCATTATAGTCCGTAACAACACGAGATGTTGGATTATAGATTCCATCACCAACATCATAACAATCTTCTGGAATCTGTTGACGTGGTTCTTTATCTTTTAGTTGTGATCGTCCAGCTGGTTTTAAACCATGAAGAGTTTCAGTAAAAAATCGTCGATCATAACCATCACAATATTTCCAATCTTCAGCATCATATGTTAAACCATCAGGAAATGTATATTGACCCTAATACAATATTACTGTGAATAATTAAACAATGATATATATTCATACCTCTTTTGCAACACCTTTCTCCCAAATAGCTTCATATTTCGCACCATTAGCATAATGAAGAATACCATGTCCATTGAATTCACCATCTTTGAATTCACCTACATAAGTAGTACCAGATGGAAATGTGAATGTTGCATTTCCTTCAAGTCTAAATTAGACAATAGTATCTTTCTAGATTTCATTTTAAAGTTTAATACCTTTCACTTCGAACTTGTCCATTATAATTACTATGTGTCCAATAAGTTTTATCAATTTTACCGGATGATGTAGCCATTATTGAATGAAATAAAATAGAAAGTAAATTTCTTCGCCATTTTAAGATTGTTTTAACTTAACAACATACTTATTTTTTAAATAGATGTCGCATACTAGATTATTCAAAATGAAATGATTCATCAAAACTTATTTTTGACTGATTATTAAATAAATTTTTGACAAAAATGTCTGATAATAAACCATCTTCAGGTCGTCTTCGATCTAATTCGTATGATCAAGCTATGTCCAGTGAATATCTAACAGTAAATAAGCCAATTGTGAATAATTCATCTTCTGAATTTGATAGAAAATCATGTGAAACTATCCAAAGAAATAATGATGATGATGATGATGTTTATTCAATTAAATGGATTGAATTTAATCATCAACGATTACCTATTTTATTGCAAAATATGAATGGACCTTGTCCATTACTTGCTATTGCAAATATTTTACTTCTAAGAAAACGAGTAAAAATATTTTTATGAAAAACGTATCTGAAAATTTCTATGTTTAATCTAGATTTTTCTTCCTTCAAATCTGAATGTAATTAGTACAGAACATGTTATAGCATCCATTGCTGAATATATACTTCAAGTTGATACAACAGTAAATGACGAAATAGAAAAAAGAGAATTTATTTAATTATTTTAATTTTCTCCTAAGAAATTAAATGATGAAAAACGAATTAATTATGAACGTAATATACAAGATGCACTAGCTGTACTTCCTAAATTAAAAACAGGAATGGACGTTAATTTAAAATTTAATGGGTAATTAAAAAAAAAAGGAAATAATATTATATAGTTTAGCTATTTATTTTTTTTAGTGTAGATAAATTTGAATATACACCAGAATGTATTATATTTGATTTACTTGGTATACAATTACTTCATGGATGGGTTGTTGATCCACAAGATAAAGAATTACAAAAAATAATTCAATCAAATGCTTTAAGTTATAATCAATTAATCGAAAAAATGATTCCACAAACTGATGAAAATATTTCTCGAGAAAGTAAAATTTTGATTTTTTTTCTTATGTAAATAAAATGAATATTTAAAGGTTTATTAATTCAACAATTTCTTGAAGAAAATCGTTCACAATTAACACATTATGGTATATTACAATTAAATACAATAATGGTTGATAATCAATTAGCTGTTCTATTTCGTAATAATCATTTTAATACAATATGGAAAAATAAAGTATATGATTTATTTTTTATATTGATACTCATATAAATGATTCTGTATCTTTTACAAATAGGATATGTATGTTACCCTTAGGATAATTTTTGTTTTTTACTATACTATTTAGAATCAACTATTTTTACTTGTTTCTGATCAAGGTTATCTAAATCATCCATCAATTGTTTTCGAAACATTGACTGATATTGATAATAATAGTACATTTACTAATGGTTATGGTGACATATGGCAAAAATCAGTGCCGGTTGATACAACACGAGAGTTTGTTCTTATTGATATTAGAAAATTTTCATTTTCTTTTTTAATATTTTCTTTAGTCGTGATTTAGCAATTGCGATGCATAAACAACAACAACGACAATATCGTGAAGAACAATTATATCAGCAACAACAACAACAGCATTCACAGAGATATTATCATGAAGAAAATTCAAATAAATCCAGAAAAAAACAGAGACATCCATCTTATGACGATGATCAAGATTGTGCATGTGTTTTATCATAAGCAGTTTCTTTTTTACATTTTTTTTTGATAAGTTATTATTATATAGTTAGAAAAGAAAGAGTTATAAATTTAATATACAATAAATACTGATATAGTTTTATTTACAAAGATGTTCAAATTCATTAGGAAACATATAATAGGATGATGATGATGCTGTTGAACTACGACTATTTGTTGTTGGATAAATATTAAGTGGTGTATTTAATATTATTGATGTATCTGTACATCTTGATTTAACATCACTTGGTGTACTACTAATTGTTGATATACGATTTGATATAAATCGATTATGTTCGAATAGAAGTGGTGATGCAGCTGGTAAAGGTACTTGAACAATAGACATTTTTTGTTTTCGACGTTGTCTTTTACGACGAATGGATGTTAAACATTGACAAACCATGACAAAAAGAAGTAAAGTTATAGCAAGAAATATACCAATCGTACATATTTGTAAGAAAAACCATTTTTCAGGAAGATAATTATTTGATGAATGAAAAATTAAATCATTTGATGTTTGAGATGATGATGATGATTCGAGAGTACAACAGTAACGATCTGTTTCAGTACCACAACAAATTCGAGAAGATGAACAATCAAAACCTGAAAATAATATTTATTACAAAATAAAATTTTATAAATATGTCTTACCATTATTCCATATTCCATATCGATCGAGAAAACCAGGACACGATGTAGTTATCATACTTGTTATTAAGAATAAATATATATATGAACGAAGGTTAGTTGCAGACGTTGTTCGTTATTTTTTCTATTACTATCAAAATGTTCTGTCTGTCATCAGACAAGAAGACGTAGCAATAATAAAAGTAGCTCGTCTTTCTTATTCTATCAAATCAGATAAGTGAAAGAAGAAAAAGAAAAGCATCATTTTCTCTAAGAAGAAGAAGAAGGAAAAGATTAATCATGAGTAGTATAGACGATGATATCGTTCAGTCTCTCGTCTCAACTGAACGAAAGTCGATTCCATCTGGCAGTAGAGATAATTGATGAGCTGGGACATATATATAAAGATAGGAAAAAGTTAAAGAGCATTTGCACTGTTTATAGAATCATCATCACACTAAAAAAGACAGACATGTCAGTTTACATTTTTCAATTAAATATCGACAAAAACCAGGCAATAGATGATCGACAAAGAGACAACTTATGTTAAGCATCATTAACTATGTTGACTAAAGAATCTTTTGCAATATATAGCTACAGGATATATATATATGTATATTCTTTTCATAGTCAAAGAAAAAAATTCTCAAATGATAAGATATTTGGTATCTTTTAGAACATTACTCTATAATAATATTGATCTTTTGTTATCACACAATCATTCACTATATCGTCTTCTTTTTTTTTACAATATTTTTCTTTGTTTACATAACTATCACTTTCACACATTAGAAACAACAGAAATAATTTATGTATGTTGACGTCTCGTCAGTTTCCATCTTGTTTTATGTAACTTATCATTGCTTTTATTGTTTATTTATTGTACAACATTCGTCAAATTGATGTATATATATTTAGAACAATGTTACTTGATGATAATTATTATAAGATCTTTTTCTCATAACAATCATTATTTCTTTATAAACATATTAATAACAATTAATTAGAGATATTTTTTAATAAAATCTAGTTTAGCTGAAATTGATGAATAAACACCAGGTTGGATTGTTTGTGTATTAGCACCATGTGATGTAACACCAAATAAGTACCAACGATTATCTGTTTTGTTAAGTATCATTAATGGACCACCGCTATCGCCTTCTATAAATAAATAAAAAAAAAAAGAATACTGTTAGCAAATCTCAAGCATTGAAAGTTGAACTAAAAAATTATGTAATACATTTTGCTCAACATACATAAATAGTGCTCGTCGGAGGATTCGCTTACCTCTTCACATTTATTGGAAAAATCCGTTCTCGATATTTTTATGACCTCGGATTCGAAGTGCCCGCATCGGAATACCTCCAGAAATGTTTTTTTCGAAAAATCGGTTTTCGATGTTTTTTTGACCCTGCGGACACGCAATCAATTTATTTTTTACTGGACACTTCTCTACGAGAATTAAAATCTTTTCTTACCTCTTGAATCAACATTATCATGTGTATTTGTTGCACATATTTCATCTCTTTCATCGAATGTTCCATAAATTTGTTTACAATAATCATTTGATTTTATATAAACTAAACCTTGTTTTAAATGAAATGATCCAAATGTATTTAAATCACCTGATGGATATTTTCCACCCCATCCAACAATAAAAGCTGTTGTTTCAGGTTTTAATTCTTGATTTTGTTGAGCTGGTAAACATATAGAATTAATCATTTCTGAACGTTCAAGTACTTTTTTTAATTTTATTATTGCTATATCATTATCACAACATGATATATAATTAGGATGAACAATAACTTGAGATGCTGCATAATAATTAAATAGATTGAGACGACCAAATAGATTTGCAGCACCAGCAATCACTGTGATATATTCAGGTTGATCAATGATACAATGTGCAGCTAGAAGCGAAAAAAGAAAAAGAAAAACTTTTAATTAAGATTATCTTTTTTTACCGGTAACAATTGTATCGGGTCCAATAATTGCTCCACCACATGATTTTAATGATTTAAGATTAACAACATTAACCATCCATGGAAAAGAATGATCAACTGCTGATAAACCACCAGTTACACGTGGTGTATCCATTTTAGCTGGTAGAATTGGAGGTATATCTGATGTACCACAATCGAATACACGTTGAGATTTATTGGGATCAAATGTATGTTGAACTTTATTCCAAATCCAATTAAAAAAATGATTTTCAACTGGTTGTACACATATTATTAACCATAGAAAATATACAATGATCGAGAATTTCATTGTAACAAACCGAATGTATCTTTTATTTCAACTGAACTTTATGTATGTATGCATGTAAAATATACGCACAATTTATTCTTTCTCACTTCGAGCTGATTTAAAATGTTACTTTTTTTTTCTTTTTCTGTTTCTTTATCGTTCTGTTTATCCTTCATATACATATATATGTATATATAGACAGATTGTATCTTAGTAGCATTGTTCGATATGTGAATGAACAAAGAACAAACATTCAAGGCAAATGATACACTTGAACTTTTCTTTTGCTACTATAATTGCATAAATGTGTTCAAACTTAAACAATGAGTAATATAAAAATATATTCATATTAGAGAATGAAGAAATTATCGATATTGATAATTAGATGTGACTGTGTGATAGATTTATGCATATAGATAAAGAAATACATTTGCTTTATCAAACTCTAATATAAAGCACGTTCAGGGAAATGCTAATGTTCAGTTGATTGATTATCAAGTGCATTTCTTTCCTATATCCATATTCACATAATGGAAGTTATAAGTAATTTTTTTATGTACTATTCAGATAAAAATTTTATAGATAATATCGGAAAATGAACATCAGTTGAATCGTATGAATGATATACAAAATACATATTAATTAATGAAATAATAGCGAGATACAATGAGATAGATAGAAAGAAAATTCGTGATATGCTCCACTATATGTTTCACATAAGTTTTCTCTTTCGTTTATGCTGATCATTTGTTGATCATCGGATGTACCTGTACCATCTGTATTCATCATCTTTATCTAAAACATATATAACATTGATGGAATTTTGATTTATTTCTTTGAGTGATGGTACACCGGTGTCTGGTGTTATCTATATATAATAAAAAAATGAACAAAAAAGACAAGTAAAGTATTAAGAATCATTTGAGCCGAATAAAAGAAAAATGTATTTATGTGTTTGTTGAATTATTTAAACGCTTCTTCCAAAACCATTTTTGATATTGATTTGTTGCTTCACAATTTGACATAAACACATCTTTATCATTTCCTTGTGATAATTCAACACAAAAACCTGATGCATGTCTCAACATATCATCCTAAAATCAAAAAAAAATGTTTATTCATTTCTTTTCATTATTGTTCTACTAAATCAAATCAATGTACTTCATATTTCCACATTTGATTTCCTTGCTCTGAATGACAAGTGAATGAGACAACTTTTCCTGGTTTCTTTAATTCACCTTGTCCACCAGCATAATCTAAACATTTTTCTTCGCGACGAATCTCGAATGCTTTTGACATAAGAAAATATTGATTTCCACCTTGACCATGACATGGATAACCAATAATAGATTTATCACCATCTTCAAGTTCTTGTGAATCAATGCACACACTTGTTTTTGCACGACTTCGAATCTTTAATTAATAAAAAATAACTGAGTATTTTCTTTTTCTTCTGATAAGAAAAAAAAAATACGTTACCTCACCAAAATATAAACTTTCATCTGGAAGAAACTGTTCAGGATAGACATTCTCAAGAAACCATTTGAATGATTTACACTGAAGACGTTCACGAATTTTGATTCGATCAGATACATCACCATAATCACCCTGAAA